AGATGGGTTCGGGTATTTCGACTCCAGTTATGATCACAAGATCATAAATGTGTGATTGTTTGGCCCTCTTATATTACTGCTGGAAGACATGCTGCACCTAGTTCAGAAGAATCTTATTCCACCTCGCGCTCCCAACTCAGCATGTCGTTGTACGACCATCCTACCACCCTCGTCTCTGACAGTCAGGCAGTGCGGGAGTTGTTCCGTCCACCGTAGGATAAATATTTGCTGACCCAACTCCCCAGCTCACCAGGGTTGATTCAGTCCACAAACGAATGGTTCCATGGTTGCGGAAAATGTTGGTTTGGGGACCACTTTCTGTGACCAGCCTATCACCAAAAGGGTGAGCGTTCAAAGGTCCTGAGAGGGTCTTGCTGGGATCTCGTTTGACCTTTGAAGGCGCACTGTACATGGACTACATCAAACCATGTGTGCTTTTTTTGGGAGAAGCTCGAAATGCTTTCCCACAATGACCCAGCAGTTGTGCCGCAGCTTGCCCAAGACGTTGCCCTCAGGAAACTGAGTTCTTTCAAGGATGATCATGCAAGAGTAAACAATTGGCTTGTTGATTGGGGCTTCCCCTTGCCGGGGGCCAAATTTGTACCCTGATCCGATCGGGACTTTGGAGAAGGCACCAGAAGCGAATACGTTTCCGCATGTTTCCGCAACATTCCTGCATTTCCCACTAGCTACAACCACCAAGGAATAAGTTGTGTACGTTTCCCATGGGTGGTTTTCTTGGCACCAACTCCCCCCAGAAATTGGCGTCCGTTATGTCGCCTGTGGAAATCCACTGGACTGCTTGAGCCGGCCGCCTGAGCAATCGCACCAGGTGGTGTTCAAGCTTCCTCCAGAGCGGCGCCTCACCGCCGACATGGCGCGCGATTTTGGCTTTTCCAGTTTGGGCTGGGGGAGGGGATCGTTTTATATCCCATGGTCAAAACATTTCAAAACATCAAAACATGCTTTTACTTGGTTGGGGATGGCCTGGACAGACATGAGAAGGACTTGTTAGGCCATGACCATTGCCCACGAGTTTGGAATTTTGATCACGGCACATAGCAACTGACCATCTTTTCCGACGGACGGGAGAGGCCTGGAATACACTCAGCAACTAGTCACTAGGAAATGGAGGCTACTCAACAGAATCCAATCAACAAAGGCCTGTTTGGGTGGTTCAAGAATCACTTGTTGGGGCCATTTCAAGATATGATTCGTCCTTTTGGAAAGGTGAGGATAAAAGGGACATGTTAGTATAAGGACCCCTTTGAGGTGTGGGCTTGAGGGTGGTCTACAGTATCTAATACTAATCGTGAGCCCCGTGTCCTTTGCCAGCCATTCTGCCTGACCTGCTTGCCCTTTTGCTGCATGTGTCCATGTTTTGCCAGCAAAACATTGTCGACTCGTTTCAGGTGACCTAAGTCGGACAAAGTTTCTCCACCCAAACCCTATAATTTGGCTATGCCTAAGTCCACATCGGGTCGTGGGATCTTATTTAGCCGGTGGTGTCACTACCAGCGTGCAATGACCTTCGAATGCGAACAAACTGGGAGCAAAACATATGGCTGTGGGTCAAAAATATGTACCCAAAATGGAATCTTGGTAAATGGAAACATGGATCAGAGCCTGCGGTCCCCTGGTGGCTTAATTTTGACCCATACCCATATCACATAGTTGCTTAGATTCCCGGGAAGCCGGACGGGGCTGTTTGCCCGACCCATTGAGAACCCCACAAAGCTGGGTTGTTACCTGCTTCCAATTCCCCCTTGAGATGATCAACTTGGAGTGCCCTGCCAACAAAAAGGGTCCAACAACTGGGTGGCCCCACTGGCGTTCAGGCATGATCCGACGTGCAGGACATGAAATGGATGGATGCCTTTTTTCTGCAAAGGGAGCCCAGCTTTTTTTTCTTCCGCAGTTTGGGATGTTTCCAAGCACCAGGGAAAACAGTTCGGTGTTTCTCCAAAGTGGGTGAGGTAAAGGGAGACATCCAAACGTTCAACGGTCAAAGTAGGACCTTAGTAAACCTTAGTCTTCCTATTCAAGACGGTATGCCGAAGGTGGGCATTTGGTCGTCCACGGAGCTGCGGGAGCCAGGGATGCCAGAGATACTAAAACTCCCTATTGGATAGGGATACGGAGTTTCTTAAATGTGGGATGCGGAATTCGGAGCCCTTTGTGGTATCTAAAGGGCAAAAGGAGACCAACAAGTCTAGGGGACCGACTCTCTTTTGGAGAACCGATTCCATGTGATTGCGCCAGGAGTATCGGGTCCTGGTGCCGGAGGGCTTGGTGCAGGACTTCATAGGCAACAAGGCGGAGCTTGGAGTGGGGCTCCTTCGAACTGCTGTGGATATGGGTAATATAGAAATGTCTGAGCCACAAGCATGTGTCAAGACAGGGATTCCTATGAGACCAAGGTGGAAGAAATCCCTGGCTTACCCGTTGGCAAACTGAGAAATCAGGGGGCGAAACAGCCCATTGCCATATTGCTGTGCTTTTCCAGACAGGAGCCACATGCAGGTGTGTAGTTTGCGATGTTGAAGATCCTCCAGTAACCTGCTTCACTTGAGTAACGGCAGTCAAAAGGATGTGGTCATGTTTTTTATGGCCAGTCAGCAGAGCAGATCAGCGAAGGCGAGCTGTTTATGTGTGTGTGTGTGTGCCGGTCGATTGCTATTGCCTGTTGAGGCTGCACACCTGACACTTGTGGTGGATGGGTTTCAGCACTTGAGTGAAACAACCGAAACGTAGTGTCACGTCTTCTGGTCGTCCGTCCACTCAGCTGATCAGTCAAAGTAGCTTCTCCCATACCACAAACCCACTTTCTTTGGGGTTTCAATAGGGCCAACCTCAGGAAGAACCAAAATCGATCAAGACGTTTAGGGAAAGGCCTTTCTGACAACACAGCTTCCGAGCCAAATGTTTCTCTAGAGGCACCCAGTTGGTGTGTGTGTGTGTGTTTGTTAACCCTTGGATTCCACCAATTCTTTAGCACTCCTTGTAGCACGGTCAATATTGTGTTCTGAGCAACGCCATTTTTCTTTCTTGCTCATGGATTCGGCATCCACAACTCGCCGCGGGGGAGGTGGCAGCGACGGTGGCCGGCTCTTTTCGGACGATGTCAGGGTGGCTCGCTCAGCTGTAAAGAGGCGTCTCGTGGCGATACACGATACAACAGAGGTCCAGGTCTGTGACACCCCAAAAAGGGGTCTGCTTCTAAAGTATTATTCATTTTAGGGCAGACTAAATATGAAACAAGATCTAACAGTTCGACTTTTGGTGGACCGCACAAGGCCAAGAATGGTTTTGAGCTTCACGTTGGAAAGGCCAAATGAAAGCAAGATTCCTTTTGGTCGGACAAAGCAGAGTTCCTGGATTTGGGGTTCAACACTCGGAGGTCTCCGGGCCGTTCAACTCGAACATGAGCCGAGGCGCACAACCACCAGCAATTACTTCAGCGATGGCCCCGGCATGCCGGGGACCTGGATCTCGTCCAGCTTTTGGACCTTCCAAATGGCTGGGTCGCATTGTCTCCTCAAAAACCAACCTGAACAGACACACACGCACAGCCGCAGCCACAGCCACAGCCACCAGCGAAGCAGACGCACACACGCACACACACACACACACACACACGCACACATGCACACACGCACACACACGCACACACGCGCACACGCGCACACGCACACACGCACACACGCGCACACGCCCACACGCACACACGCACACACGGACACACGCACACACGCACACACACGCACACAGGCACACAGGCACACAGGCACACAGACAGACAGACAGACAGACAGACAGACAGACAGACAGACAGCCAGACAGCCAGACAGACAGACAGACAGACAGACAGACAGACAGACACACAGACACACACACACACACACACACACACACACACACACACACACACACACACACACACACACACAGACACACACACACACACACACACACACACACACACACACACACACACACACACACACACACACACACACACACACACACACACACACACACACACACACACACACACATACACATACACACACACACACACAAACCACACACCACACACACACAAACCACACACCACACACACCACACACACACACAAACCACACACCACACACACCACACACCACACACACACACACACACCACACACCACACACCACACACCACACACCACACACCACACACCACACACCACACACCACACACCACACACCACACACCACACACCACACACCACACACCACACACCACACACCACACACCACACACCACACACCACACACCACACACCACACACCACACACCACACATCGCACATCACACACCACACACCACACACCACACACCACACACCACACACCACACACCACACACCACACACCACACACAACACACCACACACCACACATCACACATCACACATCACACATCACACATCACACATCACACATCACACACCACACATCACACATCACACATCACACATCACACATCACACACCACACATCACACATCACACATCACGCATCACACATCACACATCACACATCACACATCACACATCACACATCACACATCACCCACTACCCAGCACCCATCTTCCATCACGCGTCACACATGTCACATGTCACATGTCACATGTCCAAGGCTTTGGGGCAGGTGAGGTTCTTTTTAGAGAGGATTTGCACTTATTAGTTGCGAATTTGCCGATCCGGAGCTGAAACGAGCGGTTCCGGGCCCCATCATGAAGTCCCCATAGGGATTCCGTGAGATTTCCTACCTCAGGTCGGTGAGCTTATAGAAATTTGTGCAGGGTGGGCATGGTCCCCGACAGTCATTGCCAATTGAAAACCTGGGAAATGGAAGGTTAGAAGGGCCAGCAACAGGCGCTGCTTTCAGCCCTTCTAATTTCTTCACATGTTGGTCGGTCCTTGAGCACTGGGCGGGATTCAAGTGATGTTCCAGGATGCATGCTCCTTGTGAGTGTTGGCAGAGGCTGTTTCATTTGTAAATGCCGAAGAAACACAAGCGATAGTACAGACCTTACGAGTTTGTGTGCTTTTGTTCGCCGTGTCCGACTTGGCTTTTTCGACCCCTTTGGGCGGGGCCAAACCAACTATTCAGAGGGCAACAAACCCAACTAGTCAGTTCATTGATTCTTCGGAGTGCAAGATGGAATTCCCCAGCCTGACCATGTCCAGGCCAAACCCGCCAGAACCTGATCCCGATGCTGAGCCACAAGAGGCAGGAGAGCCAAGCCAAAGCACCATCTTCAAACTCAATATGCATATTAGGGTTGTTTCAAAAACGAGGGCTCCTCTCATTTGGGTGTCTCTTGTTGTCACCGGGGAATGTCTTGTTGGTCTTGGCTTGAAAGAAACCATAGGAAAGCAACATGTGTTGGTCTCCCCCTATTGTGACACATACCCATTCAACCATGGCTTTCCTCTTGCTTTCCCTTTGCAGCCGACTCAATATACAGTGTTCCTTCCAGAAAGACACCTATGTGGGGAAAACCCGGTTTGTCCCTGGGTGTTGTGGGACACAGCTCAGCCCACCTCACTCCAAACTCATCGCATGGGCACTGAGGGAAATCAATCCAGGGTGGCATTCAGAGTCACTGTTGGGGGAAACACCTCCTGATTGTCTTTGGCATCTGGGGTCTTCTGCTTTGGGGGAGTTTTTTTTGTGCCCAGGCCCGGCTCCTTTCCACTGTTGACTGATTGCCAGTCTTGGCTCAGCTTTGACCCTTCAACCCCTTTTGGGCTTCCTGCGAATCTCCGCTTTTCACCAGCAGGTTGTCAATGTTGGCAGGGGGGCGGATCCATCTGGCCATCAAAGGCTTGCTGCTTTCGTGGGAATGGTTGGACAGCAAGACTCACCAGATCTCGGGATGAGTTGCAGTGGCCCCATCAGGGGAGCCCAACATTGGACCAGTTCCTAAGTTCTTCTGGATCATGGAGCTGCGCGCTTTCGGCTCCATGGCCCGGGACGTTATCTCATTTGTTTTCCTTCAGGCACTCGAAGATTCGGGTGCTGGGCTTGCCTTTTGGGATGGCATGCCCCTAAGCTTTGGGATGGATGCGGATTCCCGGCCCAGCCGTTGCAGCTGTTGAGTTTCCCTTGTGGTTTCTCCCGGGTGCAGAAAGGGGATGTCTTTTCGACCCTTTCTGTGACCTCCCCGTGATATGTGGGTCTGTCTCTTTTGAGGGTCCCCGTTTTTTTCTTGCGGCGGAGGGCTCAGAGGGAAACCAAAAAGGAACACGACGACGCCACCTTGGAGGGGTCTCCTACAAGACGACACGCCCATGTCAACCTATACATTGGGGACCAGGACGCAAGGGATTCCTTTTGGTTTCCTTTTAACACCCAAACACGGGGTGAGCTGCATTTTCTTGAAGCCAAAAGGTAGTCCAATATGTTTTCACCAAAGGACACGGGGTCCCTTCCGTTGCGCGCGAACGTGGCTGGCTCGGACCTTCAGGGCTTCCCTCGGCTTCTGGGCACCTGGCCGTTCCATGGAGCCACAGACGTGCGGAGCTCGGATGAGTTGAGCCACGAGGATGCTGATTAGTTGTTTGTGGTTCCCAACCTGTGCAGGGCTCCTTAAAAGATACATTTTGCCCATTTGAAACATGTTTTTTGTCCACATACAGGGAAACCACCATTGACAAGGCAATGTTCAGGTGTATAATGTAAGGATCCCTGCTGTGTGTGGCGGGTTCCTTTGGTGAAAACATATAAGACTAACTTTTGGCTTCAAGAAAATGCAGTTCACCCGTGTGTGGGGAAACCAAAAGGAATCCCTTGCATCCTGGTCCCCCATGTATAGAGAGGGGTGCTCTTTTGAGGGGGCTACATGTCCAATTTCGCTTGGGTAAAAGGGAGAAACACTTGCCAAAGGGTGCCCAATTGAAACTCATACCCATGTGGGTGGGTCTTTTTGGCGTTACCCCTGTTTTTGGATCTCAAGAGAGACCAAAAGGAACACCAGCATTTTTAGTGTCCCCTACAAAAAGACACATTCATGTTGTCTCAAAAACGGGAGCCCCTGTTTGGATGACGACAAAACCTGAAATCTTGGGATCGTTTTTGTTTGAGAAGCACCAAGCATGACTGGCGGGGGTCCAGGGATGCCATCCTTAGCTCCTTCGCCCTTAGCTTCTCCAGAAATTGGACTTAGTCCCACAGATGGTCGGTCTGATGTTGGTGTCCTTTTTACTACCAACCCAAAAATAGAAGGGGGTTACTCATGGTTACTCTATTTGGAGAAGCACTCATTTGTATGCGTTTGTCATTGTGGGAATGCGGTGATGGTCGCCACTGCGGTGATACCGGAGCACCTCCGGTGGGAATGTGCCATTGCGAACGCCTTCAGGGTAAAACGGGTCGATTGGGGACCAGTCCTGTTTGAGTCAAGGCGCGTTAGAAAGTAACCAGGAGACTCACTCACTGGATTGTTCTTTCCAAAAAGGTGATGGTAATTCGTTTTGGTAGGAGCCCATCTTCGCCCATCTTCGCTTGGTCCAATGGCGACGGTCAAGCAAGCCAGCTTGAGAGCCTCGCCCCGGGGCATGTTGACTCGAACCTGGCGACATGCCGAAAAAGGGCCCGCCTTTGGCAACGTCTTCTTCTGGAGGCCGGGGCTACCTATGAATCTCTTTTGCTTTGCCTATGGCTTAGGTTCCAGGGATTTGTCGCCCCCATGTTTGGGCCCCTTGAAGGTCCATTGTATTCCGCCAAGAGAAAGCAGGGTTTTTGATGGGTTTGCCCCAGTCCGCCAGTGTTTCCATTTAGTTTGCATACTCATCCATGGGCATGGGTTGCTTCCCTTTTCCATCTTTTGCCAAAGTTTCCCTTGAAAGTCAACCCAAACAAAACCAGAGGTAGCCTCAGTAGCCTCAGAGGTATTTCCCAACCCGCTGCTGGTCCAGCCGTGGGCCTTGAGGTGCCGGCGCGCGTGGGCGTCGCGGTGCTCTTCTACTTCGAGGAGCCCATCGAGTCGGAGCCTCGGAGCCTCGGAGCCTCGGAGCGGCGGAGCCTCGAGCTGGGACTCGGGAAAAATGGTTTCTCGGGCTGGGGGTGCGTCTCTGCGTTTGTTGGGGGAAGAAACACCTTGGGGGGGGGAGAAACACTTTTTGGTGGGAAGTGGGGGGCAGTCTCTCTTTTTTGCTCTTGTGTTCTCTTTTTTTGTGGGGGGGGCTTGCTCTTTTGTTTTCTTTTTTTTGTGGGGGGGGGGCACTCCTGGTGTATGTCTTACTTCCTGATTGGCCAAAAGTCCAAACTTGGTTTGCCACTAAAATGGTCGTCCCACAAAGTATAAAGGCCAGAATCCAGAAGCTCAGGAAGTGAGAGGGATGTGTCAAAACGGCCCAAAACAAATGTGGTCGTCATGTCGGTTTCCTTTCGAATCCTCTAAACGGGTGCCCTGACAAACACCCAAACGGCCCAAAACCCCATTGGCAAGTCGCCAGGAACCTTTCAATTGTTTGGACAATATTGGCAAAAGTTAACCATGGCCAGTGACCTGAACTGGGAAACCAAGACAGATGTGTGACAGGTTTGACTGTTGTCCATTCGGCTCCAAGGCTACAGGGGTCCAAGGCTCCAAGCCACACTATGCAAGCTGAACATGCCCAATAGTGGCGGTGTGAATTTCAATAGGAAACCACCTCAAAAAGTGGTTGGACATAAATCCAAACCTAGCCACATGGGTACGGATACGCAAAACCCTCAAAATGGCAATGGTGTCCTCGTGGTTTCCCGTGAACACCAAAAAGTGTTGCTTCCCGCCCCCCCGCCCCACGTTCCCCCCCCCCCCCCAAAAAAAAAAAATGAGAAACAGAGACCGCCTCCCACCCCTCACCAAAAAGTGCTAACAATCGTGGTCTTAGCGTGTGTACACAAGGGGTGGACCGCCCCTGTCAATTTTTAGTGGGGTGAATCCGCTCACCAAGATACCAGTAGGAAATCGGGGCACTCATCAAGTCCCATGTCAGTTGGGCACAAAAGAAAGCTTAATCGTGCCCGTTCAGGAAACAACGATGTGCCTGCAATTGTTCAACCACAGAGGCCCAACATACAAAAAGTACATAGGCTCACTCCGCTCACTGCCCGAGTGACTTGATGCTTGTTAGGGAAACCATTTGGTGGTAGACACAAGGGTTTTTGGCAATCAAAGCTTAGGAACCATGGCAAATAGATTAGCCACAGAAACAGATCCCCAGAGGGTTGCTTCCCCCATTCTTTGGAGAGGTTCCCTTATTTGAAGTCTGCCAGCACCTTGTCGCAACCTTGTTAGGCATTATCTTCGCAGGCATTGTCTACACTTGTTCTTTTAGGTTTCCCTTTCACCAGTTTCCTGTTGTCTGGCCAGCCTGCCCCCATGCTGCGAAACCATAGTGGAACCGCAAACAAAGAGCAAAAGAGAGCAACCTCCTATGCAATCCATGAAAAAAACGGGTATAGATGACCAAGCATAGTTGAACCCAACATACCAGGGGCACCCAAAACCATGAAAAAGGAAGGTGTTTTTCAAAAAACCAGGTTTTTTGCAGCTTTACTGTAAAAAAACAGGTTTTTTCTTGTGTTTGTAAAAAACATGGTTTTTGGCTATTCGTGCTGCGCTACTTACATTTTTAAGGTGGGCTGTACTGGTGTTGTGAGTGCGGCTGTTCAAACTCATGTCCTTGTTGCATTTGTGGCGTGATTAATCGCAGGCGCATATCTATTGTGGCGGTTGGTATCTTGAATAGTCAGAATATTCCTAGTAGTAGGAACACCAGACTGACTATTTGAAGAGGGCATAGGGATGCGCAGCTTTTTTCTACAATTTAGCAAAAGGCTAAACCTGCGGCGCGTGTATTCAATGCAATATAAACCGTCCTCTTGCTGCAAAACGTGGTTTGACTTGGCAAAGCCCCAGCTCGGCCTGGAAAGGGCACTCTTCTTTGCTTCAGTGTGCATCCTTAAGACACAGCACACTTGCGACTTGTTGCTCCAGCGCAGGCATGGACATAGGACAGTGCTTCCCAAAAAAAAAGAGTTGGCACGTTTGACCCAGTAATGCTGCAGAAAAGGGATAGAAGCACGGTTTCCAGGATGCTTTCGGATTCAAAGCCTTTGAAACACAAGACACACATTTTGGACAAAAGGATATAGCTTAGATGGCCACTGTTTGCAGGTCGATTTCAAGTTGTTGTGAGGCTTCAGCTGGGAGCGAGCCTGCTTGGTTGCGATATTAGCCAATGCCAAAGACTACCAGTCCAACTAGTGAACCTCAAAAGGGCTAGGTTCATGCGAGCTAGACGCTGTTCAGTTCTGTTCTTCGCAAAGTCAAAGTCCATTCAACAATCGCTCGCTTCTGACCCAGTGAGACTTTTTGGGTCAGGGATGGCAACGGCACGCTGCGTGTTTCTACAGAAAAGGTCCTGGTTGCTTACACATTCCAAGCCTAGACGCAACTAGTTGTTCAATTCATGCCACCTCTTGCTTGTCACACAGGCAGTGCTTTTTAATGTGTCTCAGTTGGTTGATATTGAATCAGCGAGGCCCCAGCTCTGAAATAGAAATGAAGCCATGCTTTCTTCAGCTGCCGTAGGAAAATGCCACAAGAAGATCATGTTCAAAGGCCGCCTCACTTTGTTGGGAGTGCGCGCAGTAACTCTGTTTGTTTTGTTCTGATAGGTGGTTGTTTAGCGGCCCTTGCTAAAAGGAGGCGCGGCATTTACATAATAGACGTTAATTACATGTTCCTTCCACATGTTGCTACAAACCCCAGGGTCCTGCCCAACTCTTTGAATAACAAACTGCGCAAATATATGTTAATCCGTTTACGAAACCACGGCCCTTGAATACGACATCTCCCTGGAGAAAGCGCAGCAATAGAACTGTATTGCGCAGTGCCGAGACGCAGCCGCACGTTCCATATGCCAGAAGGGTAGGGGCCGCGCTTGCAGAAGAGAGTATGTATAGATTGTTTGCAATGTCCTGCCACTGAGGTTTACTGACTAGTGTTGGGTCTTGATTAGTAATGTGGACCATTGTGGACCTGAATAGCGTCCACTTACTTTCTGAATAGCGTTGAATTCGTTTCCTTTGGTTCAGTGGGCCAGAATAGCGTCCACTGTTTTTCCCGAGTGGGTGGAAAACCATAAAACACTAGTTTAAAAATTATAACTTCGAAAAACAACAGCCACCCCAAAACCAGGTTGTACCATACAAAACTATGCTTGCGCTTGCAAAAAGCATCAAACAATGGCCCTTGAAGGCTGCAGTTCCTGTTCCCTACCAAAATCAGCTTCAACTGCTCCAAATCTAGCTTCTGGAAACTGCAGTTCCCTGCCAAAATCGGCTTCAACTGCTTCAAATCTGGCTCCTGGAGGCTGCAGTTTCCTATCTCAGAAACATTACCAGCTCTGGGAATGCAAATTACTTGCTAAACCTTGCTGAACAAATACCAAAAAAAACAATCAGGGCAAGGGTGCCCCGCACAACGCCCCGAAGAAGGGCCATTGTTCAGGTGGACAAGAATAGTGCCCTGCCCAAAGCCCCCAACATTGCGCATTGCTTTTGCTTTCAAAGCAGCCTCTTTTTTATTGGCCCAGGTACAGAATCCACCAACTGTGACCCCTGAAGCCTCAGAAACACCCCCAACTCTGAGAATGCAAATTCTTTACTACACCTTGTTGAAAATATGCAAAACAACAATCGTGGCAAGCGTATCTACCCCACACAATTCCCCAAAACCAGAATAAGGGCCATTGTTTAGGTGGACAAGAATAGTGGCCAGCCCCTAGCCCCCAACTTTTTCAAGCAGCCCCCTTTCATTGGCCCACTGAACTTTGTCAGTCGCAGAGTTGAACACCAACTGTGACCCCTGAAATCTCAGAAACACCGCCAGCTCTGCGAATGCAAGCCCTTTACTACACCTTGCTTCAAAAATGCAAAGAAGCAATCAGGGCAAGGTGTCTCACACAACCCCCCCAAAACCAGAATAAGAGCCATTGTTTACGTGGACAAGAATAGAAGTGGACAAGAATAGTGCCCTGCCCAAAGCCCCCAACCTTGCGCATTCCTTTTGCTTTTCATTTTCAAGCAGCCCCTTTTTATTGGCCGATTAAACTTTGTCAGTCACAGAATCCAACACCAACTGTGGCCGCTGAAGTCTCAGAAACATCCCCAGCTCTGAGAATGCAAACTTTACGCCTTGTTTGAAAAATGCAAAAAAAAACACAACGCGAGGGTATCCCACACAAATCCCCAAACCAGAGTCAGGGCCATTGTTTAGACTGGAATAGTGCCCTGCCCCCAGCCCCCCATCCCAACTTTGTTCATTGCTTTTGCTTTCAAAACAACCTTTTTTGCCCACTTAAACTTAGATGGAAGCTCAAATCAAGTTCAAAGGAAGCTCCAGCAAAAAAAACAAATGGAAACTCACATGCAACAATACTGAATCAACTACATGGAAGCACACATCAAACTCAAAAGAAAGCTCCAGCAATACTACATCAAATGGAAACTCAAATCCAGCAACACTACTAAATCAACCAGATGGAAGCTCAAACTAAATTAAACAAGAAGCTCCAGCAGTACTAAACCAAGTGGAAACTCAAATCTAATAATGCTGAATCAAATAGATGGATACTCAAGTCCAATTCGAAGGAATTTGCAGCAACACTCGATCGGTTGGAAACTCAAATCCAGCAATACTAAATCAAACACATGCAAGCTCAGATCAGACTCCAAAGGAAGCTCCAGCAATACTGAATCAAATGAAAACTAAAATCCAACAACACTGAATCAAAGATATGAAATTCCAACTCAAAAGGAAGCTCCATCAATATTGAGTCAAATGGAAGCTCAAATCCAACAATACAAAATCAAATAAATGGCAGTTCAAATCAAATTCGAAAGAAAGCTCCAGCAATACTAAATGAAATGGACCCTCAAATCCAGCAACACCAAATCAATCAAATGGAAGCCCAAACTATATTCAAAAAGAAGCCCAAACATCAATGAAAAGGAAGCTCAAATCACACTTAAAAGTGGTTGCTAGACTAAAGTAGTATTGAGCCCCGGGTCCTCCAGTTTGGATGTTCATTGTTTGCCACTATTCTAGCGCCCATTGTTTAGGGGGAGGGGTTTCAATTATTCTTACATGTTTTGGTGGATTTTGTGACCAAGGCTCAAAAACCAGGTTTTATGGCCGTAAAAGCACGTTAAACAACCCGTAAAAAAGCGTACCCGTAAAAAGCCCGTAAAAATGCGTAAAAAACCCGTAAAAAGCCGTAGGAAAATACGTAAATTTCCGTAAAAAACCCGAAGACAGCAGTACTTGAGAGCAAGGCCATTTCAAGTTGTTTCAGCTGGCTTGGAGGAATATAGAGTAGAATGAGCGCAGAACCTTCATCCTTGTTTGCCATGTTCAGCCAGACGGAGCTGAGCGTACTACAGTTGGAATGCTTTTGGGCTTCTTTGTGAAGTTGATGCGTCATTGATCAAGTATGTGTGTTGTTTGCGTCCGCGCTGCAAGCGGGTCCAACTTGGACTCCTTGCTTGTCGGCAAAACTTGACGGGGCTGTGTTGGAAGCAAGCAAATGGTTTCGAATAAGTGGACCGCAAGAAACATGGGCTTTATGACTCCAAGCTGGCAAGCTAGCAGTGCCTTTTTCCCAGACTGAAGCGACATCGAACTGAAACGTTCGTACGCAATTCCTACATAATAAACATGTGGGACAAGCGCTACAGCCCTACTCGGGCAATTCACAGGCAACGCACGGCCTTGGCAGAAAAAGAGCAGACGCAACAGCACGAACAGCGATTACAGGAGCCTGTTACTTGCACACTGGCAGATGCATCACGCTGACTCAATTGCAGCAGTGGTCGTACCTGAGCTGGCACAGCCCAAGTAGAGCATGTAATAGAGGTTTTGAAAATCTGATGAACCATGCTCGAGCAATCGGCGAGCGAATCGTCCTTGCGCCATACCTTAAGAAGCCTACTGCAGCAATGTGTGAAGTCAGCAATGCCTTGTGAGACACGCTCGGCGGGTAACGGAGCATTGGTGAGCAAGTGGTGGCTATATCGCAGAAGCTTCAAAATAGGCGCTGTTGGAAGACCATCTGTCATAATGTTGGGACTTGATTAATAAAGGGCCTTCCCTGAACAATGGGTGCGCCAGAGTAGTGGCACAAAAAGACATGCAAGCAATGGAGGAACCGGGGCTCAATACAACAGTTACTTTAGTCTAGCAACCACTTTAAGTTTGATCTGAGCTTCTTTTTTTGATGTCGTACTGCTGGAGCTTGAATTTAGTTTGAGCTTCTTTTAGTGTTGCTGGATTTGAGTTTCCATTTGATGTAGCATTGCTGGAGCTTCCTGTCGAATTTGATCTGAGCTGCCATTTAGTTGATTTAGTATTGTTGAATTTGAGTTTCCATTTGATTCAATATTGCTGGAGCTTCCTTTTGAATTTGATTTGCGGTTCCATATCTTTGATTTAGTGTTGCTGGAATTGAGTTTCCATTTGATTTAGTTATGCTGGGGCTTCAATTGAATTTGTGTTGCGCTCCCATTTCTTTGATTTAGTATTGCTGGATTTGAGCTTCCGTTTGATGTACTATTGCTGATTTGAGCTTCCGGTTGTTTGATTTAGTATTGCTGGATTTCGGTGTCCATTTGATTGAGCATTGCTGGAGCTTCCTTGTGAGTTTGATTTGAGCTTCCATTTGTTTGATTTAGTATTGCTGGATGTCAGTGTCCAATTGATTGAGTATTGCTGGAGTTTCCGTTTGAAATTGATCTGAGCTTCCAATTAGTGGGCTCAATATTGTTGTATGTGAGTTTCCATTTGTAGTAGTATTCCTGGAGCTTTCTTTTGAATTCTATTTAAGCTTCCATGTATTTGACTTAGTGTTGCTGGAATTGAGTTGCCATTTACCTTATTATTGCTGGAGCTGCCTATTGAAGCTGATTCGAGTTTCAATCGATTTTCTATTTAGTATTGTTGGGTTTGAGTTTCCATTTGATGTAGTATTGCTGGAGCTTTGATTGGAATTTGATTCGAGCTTCCATTTCTTTCATTTAGTGTTGTTGGATTCGGGGTTCCATTTGGCTTAGTAGACTAAAGCTTCCTTTTTTGACTTGAGCTTCCATTTGTTTGATCTAGTATTGTTGGATTTGAGTCGCCAAAACTTAGTAGGCCAATGAAAGAGTGCTGCTGTAAGAGTAAAAGCGCTGGACATTGGGGACGCGGGGCTGGGGGCAGGGCACTATTCTTGTCCACCCAAACAATTGCCCTTATTCTGGTTTTGGGGAACTGTGTGGGGTAGGTACGCTTACCACGATTGTTGTGTTGCATGTTTTGAACAAGGTGTAGGAAAGAATTTGCACTCTCAGAGTTGGGCATGTTTGTGAGGCTTCAGAGGTCACAGTTGGTGTTGGATTCTGTGACTGACAAAGTTTAGTGGGCCAATAAAAATGGCTGCTTTAACAGCAAAAAGCAATGCGCAATGTTGGTGGCTGAGGGCAGGGCACTATTCTTGTCCACCATCTTCACAATCCTAAACAATGGCCCTTATTTCGGTTTTTGCAAATTGTGTGGGGTAGGTACGCTTGCCATGATTGTTGTTTTGCATGCATATTTTAAACAAGGTGTAGCAAAGAATTTGCATTCTGAGAGCTGGGAATGCTTCTGAGGTTTCAGAGGTCACAGATTCTGTGACTGACAATTTCGTACTTGGCTAACAAAAGGGGGGCTGCTTTTAAAGTAAAAGCAATGCACAAAGTTAAAACTCTGGGCAGGGCACTGCCGCACCATTCTTGTCCACCTAAGCAATCCTAAGCAATGGCCCTTATTCTGGTTTTGTGGAGTTGCGTGGGGCACCTTGCCCTGATTGTTGTTTTGCATTGTTTAAGCAAGGTTTAGCAAAGAATTTGCCTTTTCAGAGCTGGGGATGTTTCTGAGATAGGAAACTGCAGCCTTCAGGAGCCAGATTTGAAGCAGCCGATGCTGAGTTTGGTGGGGAACTGCAGCCTTAAAGGGCCACTCTTTGATGCAATTTGACAAGCGCAAGCGCAAGTTGGTATGACCCAAACCTGGTTTTGAGGCGGTTACTTGTTTTTTGGAATTAAATTTTGAAAGACATCTTAATCGTGTTTTCCACACAAAAACACACGGGAAAAGCAGAGGATGCTATTCTGTTCCACTAAAACAATGGGTGGGAATCAGAATGAGAAAAATGCGAACGCTATTCAAGTCCACAGTGCTAATCAAGACCCAACATCATCCTACGTGTGAAGGTATCAGCCCAACTGCCACATTCCAGTCTGCTTGAGTGTAATAGCGGGTTCCTGGAAACATCTTGCAATTATACGACCTGATTTGCACGCAAGACTGCAGGGGTTGCCAGCATGAACTTAACAAAGCTGATACTGTTTCCACTGATGAGACTAGCTTGCAGTTGTGACGCTTTCCATATTTTGCATGGGGTTTGGCACACGCAGGATTTCTTGTTGGCTCCACCTTGCTCGCGCGTTTAGAGATATGACAGTCTGCCAAGGGGACCCTTCGACTCTAAATTGCTTCGCGGGCAGTAGTGCCAGTGCCAAATGACTTGTGTAGGTAGGTTGAGCAGGCTTGCCGAATCTCAACAAGTTTGGCGGGCGATGCGGGATTAAGCTTGCTTAGTGTCGCAGGTTAAAAAGTTATAAGCTGTTGCATCAACATAGCATTGCTATTGCGGCAGGCAGTTTGTCAATGTGGCTTAAGATGTCTGGTGTTTGAATGTTTTCCCGCGCAGTGCAACTAAAATTGCTTGAGGCGCCTAGCAATCTGGTCTCGAGGTGGTGTCATAAGCAGTTTAGCGTTTAGCGTCCCCTGGGCCCGTGCAAAAACCTGGTTTTTGGTTAAAAACCTGGTTTTTGCAGAATCTCAAAAACAACCCATGTTTTTCATGGTTGCGAGGGCCACAGGTAGTTGGTTACGCTTGAAGGTCAACTAGAGTTGCGTGCATTTGTCTCGATGCGTAGAGCTCCAGACAGCATGTCTAGAGCTCCATGTCTGCTCCTTTTGCCAGGCCAAGTGTGGTATGACAGATTTCGGGTGATGTATCTTTTTGTGTGATTCAAACAGCACCTTGGATCACGATCGATTAGTTGTCCCTCTGGTGAGGTAAGGGGACATGTTGTGTCAGGTTGTTTGCGCCTCGAGGTGGACGATGGACGGATTAGTGCACTTCCACAACGAGACGCATATAATGACGTCCATCCCCACCAGCGAGTACGATGACGGCAGGAGCCGGTGTGTGTGTGTGTGTGTGTGGGTGTGTGTGTGTGTGTGTTTCCGCGAAGGTCTGTTCTTCCTGCCTGCAACATAATATGTGTGTGATTTGTTGAATGGTAGTTGTTGTTCAATTTGAGAAAACACGTTGGTTTACAGGCGAGCCTGTTTTTTTTTTACTTAGAATGAAGCTCCCGATTTTACATGGTTCGAAGTTTGGGCAGACCCCTTCAACAACAAGTTCTTGTGACTTTTCTCCTATCCCAAGGGACTCTATGGAGCACTTGAGCAGCAGCACCAGCCGCGGTACAGTAATCTGAATCGGTCTTTTGACTCTTTGCGTTTTCCCTTTCATTCTTTCTTTTTTGAACTTCAGAACTAGCCCGAAATGTGGGCTGTAGCAATGGGTCGCTCGCTTGCCCCATTTGCAGAGACCACAAAAGGGAAGCAGAAAAGTTGAGTCACTTCCCGGAAAGGTCTCGATAAAATTGTTCACAGATTTAATGACCTTTAGTTTACCTCGGAATGTGACATCCGGTATGTGTGAAGAAAGGGTGAAAATAGGGGGCATCCGCCAACCTTATAATCATGGTCTCCTGTTGATTTCCCCGTGAAAGAAAAAACTATCTACCAACATAAGGGGCTAAAGAATAGCTATCTCCCGTAATCATGACTCATCACTCCCCCCACAAACCCATCTTAATCATTTAGCCCAGTGTACTATTCTTCCATTTGCTTAAGATTCTATTTATTGTCCCCTGTGGGTTTAAAGGGAATCTATCACTACTGGAAATATTACTTATTTGTTCCAGGGGTTTTAATCAAATGGAAGTATTTCTTTCAGCTTCGGTTTCGTTTCGCGAGGAACCAGAGCTCCCGGCTGCAGCTGCTGCCTAATCGGCGGGCGGTCAAGGTGATGTTGCCGCCGCCGCGGGGAAGCCCGGGTTCGAGCGAGTCCCCGAACACCAAGCAGACATGTTGCCACGGAATGGTTCTAGGGGTTGATTCCAATTCCATTCTTTTAAGCCATCGTTCTTTTCAAAAACCAGCCATTTCTCCAGGGTTTTGGTGGTTTTCTAGAAAGAATGATCTCTGGAAAGAATGGGGAAGTTACCCCTAGAATGGTGGGGCTTTTGGTTTGACACCGCGGCTATTTGGTGGGACCCGTTCCCTCAATTTGAGACCAGCCGGGGTCCATCCTTCGCAAGACATGGGTTTGGGTCCTTGGGGGTGGCCGCAGAAATCAGCCATCAAAAACCGGGTAGATGAACGGTCGTAACGGTCGCAAGTGTCATTTTGTTGGATCAAGTGTATTTTCAGATTTGGGTTTTGGAGGCAGGTATGCTTGTATAATCCACCAACATAAGCTTGTAAGGCAATGTATACCCCGTAGATCAGCGGTACATATCATATTCTGACAAATCAGGTCCCTTTCATTTATCCTGAAGGAGTAACGCAGTCTGTGCATATATGCTTATATTGTTTGTACATTGCTTACGTTCGCTTCCCTTGACCAGTCAAGACGGATTCCACAAAAGCCCATGTAATTACTCCCATGAAACCCGAGGCTTAAGGTTGATTTGGTGCAACCCTAAGAATCAGTTGTGTTTGGGCCCCAGGTCGGCGTCCTTTGCTTGGTGTAATCAGGCTTGCGGGGGGGTTAGAGATGGCCAAAAGGCAAGGGCTCAAAGTCAGTCTTGGGGTCCTTTCCCCCAGTTTGGAGGGCTCGAACCTGGATGTGTTGAACACAATGTGTTGCCATCACCATCACCACCAGCACCATCACCATCATCATCATCATCATCATCATCATCGTCATCATCATCCCAGTTGCCCAGTGGTGCCCTTTTCCCTTTTTTTGGGAAGGGTTCCGATTCCTTGAAAGTCAACCAACCGCAAAAACATGGATGCCCCCTTTTTTCCCCATGAAAATCCACTGGGCATCTGAGTCATCATCTAGGTCCCCCAGTAGTGCCTTTCTTACCTTTTTTTTGGGGAGGGTTCCCCTACTAAAATAGACAAAACAGAAAAAAGATCGGGTACACTTATTCTAAGCTCTCAAATCTGGAGGACCTAGTCATGGTTTGCATGGCTTCGCTCGCGTTTGCGCGGCGTTTGCGCGGCGTTTGCGCGGCGTTCGCTTCGATCTCTCAGGGGCGGCACCCTGCTGCGTCCGGGACGCCGCTTCAGGGTGACCTTGGCAGCCGGGGCGCTGCAGGAGCCGAAGCGCCGAAGCGCCGATGCGCCGAAGGAACCGCCCCTTCTGGTTTTCGGTTGAAAGTGCCGAAACCGGAAGGAGCATCTCATGAACATAGGTGTCCTTTATAGGTTTGGTTAAACATAGATGGCACTGCTTAGATGGGGTGTATTTATTCCATTTGCCAGGGCCATCTATTTTGCAAAAGGCCACCTATGCTCGTGAACTTGTCTGGAGTGGGGGCTTGTGGCAGTACTGCAATTGGTTTCACCTCGTCCTTTTGGTCAAACCAAAAGAAACTTCACCATTGTTGGGGTCCTGCTGTGAGACGTACCCAATATGTGCCATGGTCAGAGCACACTTTGCGCTTTATTAGGGATGGGCATGGACGTGTCAAATTGGCAATTCCATGTGTAATCCTCCAGCCCAGGTTTTAGCAGCAAGCTTTTGATGGACCTTCTGCGCCAAGAGGTGATTGCCGCAACGCACGTATATCTTACCCGCAGCACACTGATGCTTTGGCCTTGCTGGGCGGTGCGTCGTGGCTGACGGATGGGCGACGGCAACTGGAGCCAAGCAAGGACACGTAGCGAGCGCCATATATAGCGCGACGAGCCACGAATGCCGCCGGAAGCCAACAAGGTGCTCGACATGCTCCCGGGTGGGCGACGAGGCCTTCGACCGCTGGGTATTTGCTCGGTGTTGTTGTTCTTTGCTTTTCGGGTGTTAACGTAAGGGAGGGGCATGGACATTTTGATAGGAATAAATAAACAAAGACACCGGGAGCTAAGGAGTTTTGCCCATGGCACATATACTGATTCAGGGCCATAGGATGGGGAGCCTTTGCAGCAACACTGAATCGCCACTAGTGGCTCATAGGAGCCATTAATTAAGGACCCTGTCGGGCCACAACCCTCCCATTAGATAGATTCCCCTTTGGGTGACCTGCCGAGTTGGTCCATAGTCAACTTCTAGTCAAGTGTCTTCATTTCACAGGCCGAGAAAGTCAACGTTGGATGGCCGAAGGGCTCAAAGAGACGTTCGTCTCAAAGGGGACCCCTTTTGGCTTAAGGAAAACCAAGAGGGATTCCCCTTTGGGTGACCTGCCGAGTTGGTCCATAGTCAACTTCTAGTCAAGTGTCTTCATTTCACAGGCCGAGAAAGTCAACGTTGGATGGCCGAAGGGCTCAAACAGACGTTCGTCTCAAAGGGGACCCCTTTTGGCTTAAGGAAAACCAAGAGGACGCCAGCCATTTTAGAAGGCCCGTAATTTTGAGACACACCTACATTGCTCTACTGCTATTCTTTGGACTTTAACTTTTTGGATTCCCCTCATATTTCCTTTTAACCCGCAAAAAGTTTAACTTTTTGCTGGGGCATCTACAGCACCCAAGATGGAGGACGGCCGCAAAAAGGTTTGCGCCAGGACTTGGTGCTGGGCAACATCAGCGCCGCCATGCGCGTGGACTTCACCTGCCTGCCCGGAGCCCAGCTTTGGAGGGTAATTACCCTCTTTTGGGGTAGGTTTCAAGGGAAGCCAAAAGGACAACCTTAAATTCAAAGTCAGGTCAAAGGTTTAGGGTGTAGAGAAAAAGGGTTTCCCTTAATTGTTTAGGTGACAACCGCCATTTATGTCCCCGTTATCTTGACAATGCTTGACACTGGCCCGTCTATGTAAGCTGGGTTCCAGCCGGTTTCATGCCACCTTGTTGAACAATGACTGGATTCCCTCCAGAGTGGTAGTGAATTCCTGTCCAAGTTCCTATAATTCCCTGTTTTCATTACATTCAACATTTGTTTGGCAAATGTAGGCTGAGTTTCATCCCGGGTGATGCTTCAAGGGGAAATCAGGGAACCCAGCAGAATGAGAACACAGGATTTATGGGCTCCTATTCTTAACCGTGGAGTTTCTGGAGCCCTTGTGATGGGACGACCATTTGCGTGGCAAACCCGCAGTTTGGACAGTTTTCGGGCAATCCCCTCACGTAGGAAGATTGGCTCAGTCCTAACTCAATCGACCTGTTCAATTTCCACTCAGAGTTGATGTCAGCCCTTTGGATGTTGTCCACCTCAAAACAATGGGGTTGATGACAGCCCTGTGAAGAATCTGTTGGCACTTTGGATGTTGGATGGGTTGTCCACCTCAAAACCATAGGGTAGGTGAAGAATCTGTTGGCACGTTGTTTTGGTCTCCAAGTCTTGAGCTTTCTTTCATGAGCCCCTTTGTCCCACGACGTGCCGACGGAGCCCATGGGGTGGTCACAATCAATTCTTGGTGTCGTTTGGTTGCTGTTTGAAACGTCACCTTTTGAATCCATTCGCGGTGTCAACCAAATGGGGCTGTGTCCCTCTTTGGTAGGCGATGCTTTTGGGGGCCCTGGTTGCTTTTCGCCAAACCGAAGGGACACCGCGGCTCAGGGCGAACGACTACGGCACGGTGGGGCCCTTTATGATGGCAGCAGACGTGAGGCAAACTGAGGCACCGATCCGGGGGATCAGCTCTGGGTACATAAGATGCTCACCGATCGGGCGGCGGCGACCCAGACCTTGGAGAGTCCACAAGACTTGAAGTCCCGGATTGGACGTTGTTTTCCGTTTGTCCTGTCAAAACTAACTAAAGGCTAACCCGGGAAAAAACAAAAACTACAAAAAATGATAAAACACGAGAGAGGTGCACCTCAGCCTTTGACCAATCAACAAAATATGCGACAGATTCTGGCAACAATTCGACATGAACCTGGAATATACGTTCAAAATAGATTCCAATACTGATCCGCCTCTAGGAAAACTAGTTGGATCTGATTCCTAGAGAGTTTCTGCGCAAGAGGAGGGCTCCTTCACATGTTGGAAAACAAACCAACATGTGGCAAGAGAGTTCAGTTCAAAGCTCAAGAAGTGAGTAACGGTTAGGGGATGGTACCAACACAAACCCAATCGGCGCAGGCGTTACCATGCCGGGTGCTTTTTGGGGATCTTCCATGGGAGCTTTTTGCAGACTCCAAACTGGTCAGGTTGGTGCCCAATCTGGTATCGCTTTGTTACACCCCTCAATTGTTTGGGAATCTTCCGTGGCTATGTAACTCAGTTTGAAGTTGCCCTAGGGTTTGTCCAATGACTTTGTTTGCATTTCGATCTGGTTCTCTCTGCCTTCTATTTGCATGTCTTTGTGTAGTCCGGAGTCATGGAGGAGACAAATTGGTTTGTTTGTTTTTTGGGGGGGGGCCCTGTTTTTGAAGGTTTTCAAGGACACACCCACATTGGTGTGCCCTGAATGAGACATGTCCTCAAATACTTTGGACCAAGTCCATTTCGTACCAGTTATTGGATAAGGCATCATGAATACTGGGATCAACCACCTACCGGTGCGGGATGTTGTCCATCTACAGTATGGCACAGGATTCGGTTTCAACCTTACACGGACGTGTCCCATTGTTGATGGTACTTACACCTTTGGTCAGAGTTTCAAAGGGAACCCAAAGCAACACTCATTTTGGCAGCCCAGCTCTGCACAAAGCCCACGTTTTGTTCTTTCGTGCCAAGGCGGACATGTGCGTGGCACATGGGTTCATGTCTAAGAATCGGTGGGTGTTCTGTGGGCGTCCCTTGTCCCAGGCAGTCATCACAAGGCCACAGCCCAGAATCACAGCCCCTAGCCAAGAGCAGCTTCTCTTGGCGGCTGTTACTATTCCGCGGTTCGGGGGGGGGGGGGGGAGACCTTGTGTGAGTTTTGGTCATAGCATATCTAGTCTAGTTTACATTCCGGAGCATGTGGCTCACTAAACTTCCAGTTGCTTAAGATGATTGTTATTTCCCCCTGGTGGTTTTACAGGGAATCTATCGCTAATGGAAGTATGTTTGTGTCCTGGGGACTTAAGCAAATGGAGGTAAATGTCGAACAACTGCCAAGGACTCGGTAAGTTAATTTTGTCCTTTACTTTAACCGAATTTCTGTTGATTCTTTTTGGCCGTGGCCCCTGTCTCTCCTAAGCCGCGGCCAAACGCCAAGCTTCACAGGTGCCTGGTTCGCAGCACATCTTCCACTTCTGGTACAGCGAGGAGAGCCACAGCCAGGGTCCAATCGACTTCCTTCAGCAGTAAATCAAGGGACCCCCCGATTTTCTTGCCCGACTTCATTCAAGTTACCTTTTTGATGATTTGTTTGAATTCCTTCAATTCATCATACAATTCTTGTGCCTCATGTTCATCTCCATTTCAACCAGCAAACACCCGATGTTTTTCAGGGGCTCCACTCGTTTGGCCCTGCCTTGATCGCGTGGCCGGATTCTGCCGCATCAGTTTCGTTGCCACAAGAAGGCTCACCATTTTGTGGGGGGGCCACGCAGTGTCGCCCTCAGGAAAGTCGGGATCCTGTCCAGGGTCGCATTGTCAAGGGAACCATACTCGAGTGCTTCTCAGCTACCTCCAATGGGGTCCAGTGGTGTATTTCTTGCCCGCTTTCTCAAGGCTTGGGTTGATGTACATGTAGACCCGGGGTCTTTGGGGTAAGGCCTTAGGCTGTTGATCCTAGACTGTCACTTGCATATTCAATGGTTGGTTTGTGTGCTGAAATGGACGGGTAAATTGGATATGTGTAGAACTATGATGTTAGCTAAGTCGGGGCAGAAGCGCACCCTATGCAAAGGTGACCAGACTCGCTGATGATACATGCTTGGTCTACCGCTAGGCTTCCTGATGGATTCTGCGCTGACAAAAACATGATGTGTGAGGCGGATATCAAGCCCCAGAACCCTAGCACGGACTTTCTCTGGATGATCTTGGCAAAAAGGGAAGCAAGCCACATCTTTCCAAAGCCATGAAGACCTTGCTGTGAAGCCCGCTTTCTAGGCAGTCAACAACGAGAAAGGAATGTTGGTGGCAGGACCCTGAGGGGTTAATTTGCCATTTTGTTCCACAGTTCTTTCCTTAAAAAGCCTGGCGGTTGTGGTTTTGTGGGATTCCTGAAAGCGAGGGCCGAAGAAACCTGGATGTTTCCACTAGACGTGGGGTGGCACCTTAGGGTCAAATGCAAGAGAGTAGAACGAGCTTCCTAAATTGTTGGAACAAGGGTATCGCAATTTGCCCAGGAAAAAGGGGACGAATCCGCTGATGAATTCACGAATCTCGTACTCGGAGACGTGATTTTCGAATCATCCCCCGAATCCTGTCTAGATTACATCCCCGACAAAGTGGCTGTTCATCAAAACTCTGTACCCCTGATAAATATCAACATAGATGGTACATGGGCGTTCATCCGCCCCAAAATGGCTCGCCATAGGATATGACCCACCAAGTGAGCCCGAGGTGAACAAGGGCTGTGGGCATCCGCCCCCTTGGGAACGGTTGGGTCAGGACCTCGTGAAGAGCTCAGACCAGAAGCCACCGGTGGAGCTTCTACGTCCTTCAGGCGCAGAGCCTCCCTCACCCCCTAAGGCCCGACCTGAACTCGGGCCATGTTCTGTGGTTGTCATGTATCTAAGTCACATACTATTGATGTTACACCAAGTGATAAGAAATAGCAAACTAATATAGCGAAGCATGTTGATGATACATCTTCAATCAAGTTTTTGTTTTTCCATGCCTAACATCACATGCAGTTGGATGATGATCATTCGATATTGAACCAAGGGACTGCTCTTCAATATGCCATAGTCACAGGGATGGGCCACAATGAAGAGCCCTCAAGCTCAAGGGAGGTCATTCATGTGAAGCCAGGGGTTGGCCCCTTGTCCTTTGCGACACTGAAGTACTGTCCTTCTTCCGGAAAGGCTGTGAGTGCTTGTCCGTCTTTCGTAGAGGATATCTGGGGTTCTCCTCCAAAAACACATCATATTTGAGGGTTGACTAGATACGCAAAACTAAGAATGATATTTTCTGTGTACCCCAGATGTTGGCCGAGATAAGGGATAGCCAGGGATTCACTGCCTCCTCACAAACACGACGGGTCACACGCGTACGAACAAAATCGCTTAATCAAAGGCCCGCTTGCCTGCCTGGCTGGCATGTTGTCTCTGTTGTGAGATGCTAATCTTTGTGCTTTGAATAGAAGGGAGGCCAAAAGGAAAGCCATACTTTTTGGGTTGCTAGTTTTGGAGGTTTGGTCAACATTTCCAGATTTGTCTACGGTCCATTTGGGGCTTGGGACATGAGGGTCAAGCTCGAATGTCGCTAGAGAAAGAGGAGGGCGAACTCAATTTGTCCCAAGTCCCATGTGTTTGGGAACCGCATATGTCAAGAGCTACTCACATGTTCTGTGATGCGGTGGATGCCCTATACTGCAAACAACCGAAATTTGCAGGAATTGTGGTTTACTGCGATGAGTTTACTCGCAGAGTTCAGGGCATCGGTTGCCTTTCACAGTCAACTTGTAAAGATGGGAACCAAAATCGTTGCGACAAAGGGGACCATGTTGCCACCAAGCATTGAGGGCCGGGGGGCAGGGTTCAGGAGGTCCGGGCCGAAGGTCTGGGTCGCCCTGTCAGGCGACGTCGTGCAGGTGCCTGGAGAAAGCCAAAATGCCGGGACCCGCAGGGGTCACACTTTGAGCATCCAGTGAAGTTTACATCCAGTGAAGTTTACCGTGAAAGGCATCAGGTGATTCACCTTCGAAGATTCACTTTCGAAAGTTGCCCAAAAAGCAGGGTGAAATCGGGGTTTCCTCTTTGTGGCTCATAGTAGCAGGAAGTCTAAGATTCTACTGCCTGGCTTATTTTTTTAGCCATGGTGGTAGAAGCACACGTCAATGGGTTTCGGACGTTGCTCAATGATGGATTCCTCTGAATATGTTTGTGTGGTGTGTTGGCCGACTTACTGCGGTTTTTGGGGTGGGAGGGTAAATGTGAAGCTCATTTCTCAGCATCAAAGTTATTTGACAGTGGCTGTGATTCATCGAGCCCTGATAGATTCTGCCCTAAGGACTTTCCCAAAAGGAAACCAAAAGGGGATGGAGAATCTAATCTTCCGAATTCCATGTTTTTTTCGTTCCAGACCCCCCATCGGGCCCTCGGGCTCTGTTTGAGGACCTGCCTTCTCCTTGAACCCGTGCAGTCTCGGGCGTCGAGCTTTGCATTGGCTTCACCCAGAACCCCGTTCTCGCCTTGTGCCCATTGCAAGACTTAACCGTTTCAGGGGAACCCCCCCCAAAAGAAAAAAAGAAGCAAACAAGCAAAATAAACAAACAAGCAAAACATGGGAGGTGTTCCTTGTTGTTCTCAATTGAAACTACCAAGAAAGGGGACCCTCAGGAAGAAAGGCACCCGTTTCCTTCATAACCAGTTGTAAGTCAACTGTTTTCAGTCTGGCTCCCTTCCATTTCGACATCACTCAGGTCACGATCGACGGGAACGTGCTGAGAGTTGTTTTCCCGGAGCACGCGCGATCCTCAGGTGGAAAGATTCGTAGCTCGGCCTACTTATCCAATCTGCTGATTTTGTGCGGAACTGGCGAAAAAGCGGGTCTTCCCTTTGAGCCATGGATCTCAAGCTGAATGAACATCCAACTGAGCCCATTGCGCAGGGCCCAAGCCCGAACATTTCAACTTGTGGACCAAGCATCATTGAAGCCCTTTGAATTTTCGGGTTCCATGTCAATTCGCCGACGAAAGCGGGACCCAGTCGACCCGCGCGTGCGCAATGGCCGAGGTCATGGGCAGCGGCGGGACCTTCACGCTCATCATGCCGCGCTTCATTTTTCTGGACCCCATGGGCGAGTGGTTTGTTTGGGAGGGCAGCCCTTCTGTCAGGTACAGTAACCATTCCTTGGTTTGGATTGCTTGCTTTCTTTTTGGGTAGCCCTTCTGTCAGGCAACCATTCCTTGGTTTGGTTTGGATTTGAACCTCTGGTTCTTGTAGAGAAAAGCCACAGGGCTCCACCTGTTGGCTGGGAGTGCACAAAAGCCTTCCAAAGAAAACCAACGCAGAGTCGAGATTTGGTTTGGTCTTTGCCTTGGAAGTCAAAGACCATTAAAGGAAAGGCTTACCAGCGGTCATCTTCCCTCAAGAGGAAAAACGATGGTCTTTTTGGCAGACCCTTTCTTTTTATGACCTGTTCATAGGTTCCCTAAAATGGTAGGTGTCCCTTTGGTGTCCCTTTAACATACCAACTAAAAGCGGGATTAACCATTCTGAGAAGCTCCAGACATGAAACGCTGAACCAATTTATTGGTTTACAACCGTCAATTCTGGCTTATTATTTTTGGAGAAGCTGATTCTGGGGGATGGTGTATAGGAAGCCAGAAGGAAACTATGCAACTTTGTAAAGTCCTGTTGAACTGGGTTGAAGACCAACAGAACCCAACCGTCTAAACGGTTCCCACACATATTGAGAAGCACCCATTTCACTTGAGCGGAGCCCGGCGCACCCCGAAAGAGCAATTTCAGTTGGTTGTTCTGCTGGGTTATAAAATAAGCAGCTTAGAATCAATCGTCAATGGGTTGTGAGCGCTTCACATTTGGTTTTCATGGTTTCCCTTTCGGGCAAATTCATGTCAACTCAAAGTCTCCCAAACCAGGGTCTCACTCGTGGGATCTCCTTTGATTTATATTTTGAGTTTTACTAACCATGGTTGCCAGAGTCGACCAGATAATTTTGGGCTGGCAAGAACTGAGGTTGGATTACCATGGCGCCGGGGTTTGCAATGTTTGTTACAACCAGACCCTGGGTATTTTTGAAGGCTCGCCGAAAGGATATCAAAACAATAGTTGGGTTCATGGAATTGCCATGGCCAGAGAGGCTCTGGTTATCGGGTTTCTGTGAACTAGTGTGGCACTGAATTTTGACTCTACCCAGAAATGGTAGGGCACAACTCCCATGTTCAAGGTCCCCCCCCCCCCCCCGCCAAGGTGGATTCAAGGGCCCCCCCCTTCTGCCCTCCCCCCCCTCCCCCCCTCGTCCGTCAAATTCGGTGCGGAACCGGGGCTTCGGTGGCTTCAGGATGCGCAGATTCGCACGGGGAACGTCTTGGAGGCGCGCTCGGAAACGTCGGGATCTGGTCACTCACACGAGTTTTGATGGACCCGAAATGGACATCTTTTTGGGAGACTTCTGTCCCATTTGGGAGGGTAGTCCTGATTCATAGCCAAGTTTGGCGTTTCCTGGCTAGCGTTCAACATGGTTTTTTTAAGGGAACTAGGAAGAAACGAGGCTGTTTGGAGGTTTCTCTACGGTGAGACAACCCCAAATGTGAGACAACCCCAAATGGGTGTTTCTCAAAATGGACTTCTCTTGGATAGAGGGAAACCCAAAGCAAACCAAACCAAAAGGAAAACAATGGGGGTCCCGAATATAGAGATGTTTCCCAAAAAATAGGGAGGTCCCTGAGAGAAAGATGTGGGTTTGCCTCATAGTAGGGAACCCCCACATAGGGGTTGTCTCCAAATACGGTTTGGTCGAAATTGCTGCCGGGGAGACATGGGCAGACTCACAGAAGGGAACCCCGAAACAGGACTTCTTGGGTGACCTCCTTGCTGGGCTTGTCTCAACCGAAATCACCTGGTATTTGTGGTTTTGAAAATCCATGGTTTTCTCAGCAAACAGTGGTTGCTCTTAGTTTGATCGCGCGAGTCGCTGGCTGCACTGCAGCTTCCACCACTTCAGCACTTGCTTTCCGGAGTACTCGGCCACCGTAGCGTGATACGCTTCATTAGAGAAGGTCAAAGGCGGCAAGATTTGGAGACACACCAACAGAGGCTCATTGAAAAAAAACACCACTTTTGTTGGGGATGCCTTTACTTGGAGACAAGCCTTGGGTTGGGAGTTGCCAGACGTGGGCACAACCTGGATTGCCCTAAGTTTAGGTGCGAAGTTTCTTGGAACATTTGTTCTAGGAGTATTTTCACGCCGAGATGCAATGCTTAAGCATGCATGTTCCATGTTTTAGGTACCCCACTCCTCCCCACCTATGGTCATGGCACCCCCCTCCCCTGTGGAGTAGTTGTGGGTTGACTTAGTTGAGGGTTGGTTAAGGGTTGGTTAAGGATTGAATAGGGGTAAATTAAAAACAAATACATAAGCACATACAAAAGTAAGCAAACAAAACGATAAATTTAGCCAGACATGCAGAAGGCCTCACGGGGCGAAGTCATCAGGCCTCAGGTCTTTTGGAAACAAATGGCTTTTCCACTAAACCTACAAAAGGTGATCGACCTTTTGCTGGGGCTTGGCGCAGCAGAATCGTAGCGACTTGCGCCCAGGTCTTTGCAGCGTGCTTTGTAAAGGCCAAAGGGTCAACCCCGGAAGAGCTTCTAGGTCCCCCAGTAGTGCCCTTTTACCCTTTTTTGGGAGAGGGTTCCCCCACTAACATAGACGACAGACAAAAGGGTACCCTTTTTCTAACCTCTCTACTGAAGGACCTAGTCTTAGAATGCTTCTCTTTGGGGTGGAGCATCCAAAACAACCCGGCGCTTGTTGCAGATGCACAAGCGTGTTGGCTGGTGTTATTGTTCATACACCTTAAGCAAGTGAAAGCTCTGAGTTTTCTTTCAAGCACCCGCCATTGGTGGCTTTCTGTAATTTTGCAAGCCGCAATGCTGTTTAAGAATAGTCAAACGACTTATTTGCGTATTTATCCCCGCCAATACTCACATGTTTTAGGGTACCTTCACATTTATGTTGAACACTATTACAATGTCACGTGCAATACACATACATATATATAGACATATATACACATACGAATACATAAATATATAACATAATATATATATATATATGTATATGTGCATACATGTATGTATATATATAGACATAGACATATATATATATATATACAGTGTAGATAAACTAATGTATATACAAGCAACAAAACCTGGTTTGATATTTATATACGCTTTGATCTGGGGATGCTGTATGGTCTTGGTGTCTCGCCTTTGAGCAATCCCGCGAGGGAGCGCTGCGTCTCAGGGTGGAGGGTCACCCTCGGACGTTGAGCAGCAGCTGACCTTCAGCGTGCAGCCCGAGCAGCCCGAGAGGCGTGCGGAGTGCGACTCGCTCCGCGCGGAGTGTAATGTTGACCCAGGATGAATAAACCCCAGTTCGTTAATGTGGGGGTGTCCCTGGTTTTAGGGGGGATTTATCACTTTTGGAGGGGAACACCCCCATATTAACAAACTGGGGTTTATTAATCCGGGGTCAACATTATAGATTTGACACCCCTGGACTCTTGGGTTTCGTGTTACCCGCCAGGCGATTCCATGAAAGCTCCCAGCACACATTGGGAAGAGGACGTGTCTTGTTTCTTGAGGGTACTGCACCAGGTGACCCTCCTCAAAGAATCCTATGGGTGGATTCCATGTTTCTTGGACTTCCCCATGGATTTAACCTTACGCCCGTACTCGGGACTCGGGTCACAGCTTCAAATTTTCTGAGACAAACTCCACCCTCCAAGTCCTTTTTTGTTTGGTGGCGCGCACCAAATCCCCCGCGTGCATGTTAGCTGGCAGGACGAAACTATCAAATATGATGCTTGCTACTTGCACCCTCAGCAAGGGGAACAACCGCAGGGTTTGCGTTGAGAATTGTCAAGTAAGGGGCGATTATCCTTCATTATCTTCATATTGGCCGTGACAACACGCTGGTTGAATGTTCCGCACACGCCCGTTCTAATTACCATGTAAGAGTAAAACTACATTATTGTCCTGCTGAAAACCGCAACTTTCCATATTATGTTGACCAACCCTTTGGATCCCAAATGCGCCAAATACGCAGCATGGGTGCACCGTTTTGGAGTGGGCATATACCCTTTGTTGGTTTGTGCTTGAGGGAAACACCCAAGACAAACCACTTGTCATGCTTCCCCATTGCCGAAAGCCGAACTGGATGTTGTGCCACTGGGAGGGGCGTGTCCGAAATGATTTAATTGTTTGATACTTTAGGTTCCACTAGATATTTACTAGAACCTGAACACTTGTGTGTGTACCCCAGATAGAGCGAAGCAAGTGGCAAGGCCTCGTTTCAACACCAGCTTCGGCTACCCGCCCGCTGAGGAGGAGGCGGGGAATGGGAACCCCCAAAAAAGTCCGAGTTCGCTTCCTTGGTTTATTGGGGGCGGCATAGAATCACCTTGCTTCTTGTGGTGGTTTGGACCTTGGAAAGCAAGGCTTGAAACAAGGTGGGCCCAGTGATTCTGCGCAACTGGTAGGCAACCGTGGGAACATCCAAAGCAAAATTGTGAAAATTTGCCCACACGGAACGGTGATCACAGGGCTTCAAGTTGTCCTCTTATGAGCGACTGCAGTGATGGGGGTTGAGGGAAAACTCTGGATTTCAGGGGTTGGACGTATCCGGACCCGAAACCGGAACCCAAACTGAACCCGCCTCCGAGTGGACACCCGATTAACCCCCCCGCCCCCCCGAACGCGACCTCCCTTCCCCAAAACAAAAGAGCCCCGCCCGAACCCAAACCTCCTCCTCCCCCCGAGCGGGCACGACATGCCCAGCCCCAACCCCAACCCCAACCCGAACCCGAACCCGAACCCGAACCCGCCCCCCAAAAAAACAATAAAAACACATGAGCCCCGCCCGAACCCGAACCCGAACCCGAACCCGAACCCGAACCCGAACCTCCCCCCCCCAAAACCCGAACGCGAACCCCCCCTCCCCGGGGCAGAGGTTAGGTTAGGGGTTAGCCGGGGTGCACTGTGGAGCAGGATGCAAGTGCGACGGCATGCGACGGCTGGCCTTCTTTGTTGGTGGTGAGCGAGAAACAGGTTTGCTGCTGACCTGCAGTGTCAAGCTCTGTCGCTGATTCGGATGTGAAACGCAGCGCATTGATGGCGTCTTTCGGGCGCAATCGGATTCGCCGCTTAGAAAAGGATTTCAGATCAGTGAAAGGGGCGTATGAGACTATGAGGGTCTGGCTGAAGTGGATGATCAAGAAGATCACGGATTTGGAGGCCCATCACGCTCACGGGTTCACTTGCCACTGTTTGCAATGCATTAGCCAGTGGAACCGGATGAGCCGGTGCGTCGCCTGCAATGGCCTGTCGAACAGGGCAGGCCACCAGAATTGCGGCTTGTACCCAGGCTGCTTGAGTGTCCGCCGCTCCTTCCCCAATCTGTGGGCCAAATTTGTTAAGATGCTTGCCGAAGTGGCTGCAGAGGAGATCCGGAAGGAAGGGCTATTGGCCGGACCTGTCAGGGAACGAGACGCAAGCTCGGACTGCGACAGGATGGCTGCGGTCTCAGCTGCGACAGAAGCGATGTTGTTGGAACGCATCAGGTGAGCGCAGATAATATTCGAGTCAGCAGAGTCAGCTTCAACAGTAGTGTCATCTGTGTTGCATGGGGAGTCTGGGAGTACTTCACGCGCCTATTGCGTTTAGAGTTATCTCGAGAAACGGGCCGGGAAACACAATGAAATCCGAACACCTGAGAACAAAACCATACAGAGGACAGTGGACGATCGAAAGTCGGAATGACAAATTCCTTTCCAGTACTTTGATGTTGACGCCAAATCTGTTTTATAGTAACACAACATCAAACCGAGTCAGGATATGCCGAAGCAGCAGGCAAGCAGTATGTTGCGCCCGCCAGCCAAAGTGTGTTGGGAGCAACAGCGTGCCCGGAGTAGCGTTTCACATCCGAATTAGCGACAGAGCTTGACGTTGCAGGCCAGCAGCAGACCTGTTTCTCGCTCACCACCAACAAAGAAGGCCCGCCGCAGGACCAGTGCCACAGCCTCGTTTGAAGTACAGCAGACCGGTCGCTGTGGTAGTTGTTGTAATTGACGCCCGACCCAGTGAGAGAGAGTGACGTTGCAGGCCCATGTCAGGGAACGAGACGCCCACTACTACTACTACTACTACTACTGCTACTGCTACTGCTACTGCTACTGCTACTGCTACTGCTACTGCTACTGCTACTGCAACTGCAACTGCTACTGCTACTGCTACTGCTACTTCTTCTGCTACTGCTACTGCTACTACAACTACGACTACTACTACTACTACCACTACTACTACTACTACTACTACTACTGCTGCTACTGCTACTGCTACTGCTATTATTGCTGCCGCTATTACTTCGCCTACTAGTAGTATGCTGCTCTTCCTACTACTACTCCTATTACCATTACTTCTCAATTTCTTTCTACTACAATTACTTTTGCGCTTTTCTTATGATTACTGGTGCTACGACTACTCCCATTGCCGGTGAGTCAGTTCGGTTTTGGAAGGAGCCAAATTCGCCAAACCCGCCTCCCCGCAAGCAGACACTCCCGGCCCAGAACCCGAACGAAGCCCGAACCTGAACCCAAATCCGAACTTCTCCCACCCCGGGACGATTCCAAGATTTGTCTATTTGATGTCTCACCTACAATCAGGATTGCTCCTGAGGTACAAAATTGGCAAGGGGCGCTGTCATCCTTTTATTGGCCAATTTCAAGGGCTCGGGTTTTTTCTTTGGAAGGGGTCCCAAAAGTTCAGTTGTTCAGCAACATGCTCAGACGCGGACAGATGCTTAAATGGGGAGGAAGGGGGGGGAAATCGTGTTTGTTCTTTTGGTTCCTTGCAAACCAACCTTAAAAAGTCCACCCGCCCGAAAAAGACGCACGCCCAAATGAGCCCAGTACTTAGAAGTAGGTGGCATCGTCAATCCGAAAGAATATCAAGCCGCACAATCGATTGCCCTCTAACAAGGCCATCAACATGTCAGTTAAGGATGTTGGCGGCCCGCAAAAGGCGTGCCTACAAAAGTGCAGCATTCTTCGAATGAGGGGCACCTCCTTGGTTAAAAGACCCACAGAACTTGGGCGCCGAACTGGCAAATGCAGGACCTCTAGTGGCTGTTGGTTCCTTCTGAGGGGGGAACCCTGAAGCCAATCAAAGGTCCATGTACTTCTCCATTGGAGAAAAGTGCAGGTCTTGGGCGCCGATTGCTTCATGTATCGGACAGCCAGAAGGTTGCTGGCCAATCAAACAAACCCACAGTCAGAAGTCATTCGGGGAGCCCCCTTAGACATTCGGTCAGGTTGAGAGGCTGACAAGGGATAAAGGGGTCGTTTATGCGGTTTCTGGTACATCATCACAGGGTAACAAGGGAAGCCTTGCGGATGTATTCTGCCAAATACTGACTTGCGCATCGATTCGGGGGTCGAACGAGCTCCCTGATATGATGAAGATCTCTTAGGGATTCCTTTTTGCCGGTTTGCGAATTATGGTCAGGCGCCCACAAGCCTCAGAAATCTGGGGGACCGCTGGAAGAAGGCTTGGACCTCTTATATATACATGTATGTATATAGTATATAAGGAAAATAAACTTGCCAAAACATGGTGCCCTTTTTGCAGCAGTTCCAATTCATCGCTTGCCGGTACTGTTGAATCCAGGCCCCCCCCGGTATGTTTTTGTTGAACATAAATATATATATATATATATATATATATTAGTAGGGCTCAGGGGAGTTCCACTATTGTCATCGTTCAAATGGGGCGCCGGCGCAAAAAACGTGAACAATTAAATATTTTCAGAAAGGAATGTATGTGATCTTTTTGCCAGCTCCATTTGAACAGATTTGAACATGCGAAGTCAGCATTGCAATTTACAATTTGAGTTTACAACTTGAGGAAGGAAAGTCTGAATGTGCCCCCCAATAAGAGCTGTCAGAAGTTAGAAGTATTGGTTGACTAGCGGATTCGGATTTTTTCCCAGGACTTGGCAACCTATGAGTTCCCCAGCAATGGCCGGCTGAAACTCTCCTTCAGCGAGGAGGCGAGCGGCTTCGACCGAACCGTCGCCACAAGTGGTTGGTCCTGAAAGGGTAAGCGCAACGAGATCATAATCCGATTGGTTCATGGGGACTGCACACCAACCAACCAACCAACCAACCAATTCTTTTTCTGGACCTTGTCGACCTTGGAAAAGGGGGTTTTCTGGTTCTTACTCGATCGGATCATGTGACCAGAGCGCCGCGGTTCGAAGAGCCAGATGGAAACATCGGACCAAGGCCACCTGAACACACGTCTCACTCACCGAGTGGGAAGGTCATTTTAATGATCAACAAGTTAGATGGCGGCGAAGTTTCATCGTTGGAACGCCCTTCCGGACTTCCAGATAGTTGGTGACCCAAGAAGGTGTGCTCAGAATGGGGCGGGTGCTGCAGAAACGGAGTTCCCCCTACGCGTATATGCAAATGCGCTTGTTTCAAGGCCAGATTTCAATCCCGGACCATCAAAGGGTGTTTCGGTTGTAAAATAGAGCTTTTCAAATTTGCTCTTCAAGAAAAATATACTTGGGGGATGGTGATTGCTGTTGTTTTCAAACAGAGCTCCAAATACCTTTCTTTTGGGGCCTTCAAAGTCGCAAACTTCTCGCGAATGCCAGGGGAGGAACCCGAAGTGTCCTACGTCTTTTACTGGGTCAGCGTTGGGACCGCCTTACATTGTTGTTTGCCTGACTAAATCATGAACCAGCAACATATTCAACTCCTCTAGGTTCATGGTTGTACGTTCTGCATGCTCCAATGATACGGGGAGCAGCACTGGTGGGTATTTTTCTTGGTGTGCTTTTGTGCCTTTTCCGGACTCCCTATTTAGCACCCAGAGAAGGCCCCCCAAGAATGTGTGTCTTTTAGAAATCCGACCTGGAACCATAGGAAGGGATGCCCCGTGTTGGGAAGTGCCCAAACGTCTGTACCAAAAGGCACCATGTTTGTTAGTTGTTTGTTCAATTGTTCTCACAGGCTTCCATAGGGTTTGCCACCAGACTGTGCTTCCAGAAGCTTTGCATTTGAGATCAAGCGCCACAAAACGGGGTGGCGCCACAAAACGGGGTGTGTTGGTTGTTCTTGTTTGTTTGGAGGGTTTCTCTTTAAAGAATACAGCAAAAGACAGCGGGCCATCCTTTCTTTCCTTGCAAAACTCGCTTGTCCAAGTTGAACTTCCAATTTTCGGCTAGTTGTTGTCACTACCCAACCCCGGGGGTCTCCTCCCAGGTCCCCAATTGTGGCATGTTGTAAGGGGAGAGTAGACATTCACCTGAATCTGAATATACCATTTGTTGTGTGCCCCAGATTTGGGCCACCCAAAACACCCGCAAATGGACCCGGAAAAGAACCAAAAACTACAAACGTGGCATGAGACAAATCCGAACACAGGGTGCGGCCCGAGAAACGGTTGGCTTGTTATTTTCTGAGACACCATCTGCAGGAAGTGATCCAAGAAATCCAGAAGCACTCAGGGTTTAAGAGCTGGAGAGTTTGCTGGAGAGAATGTCTGGAAACCCGCAAAATGCCTGGGCTAACTTAACGCGTTTCCTGTCTTCTTAGAAAAATGGAACCAAAGACTAAAACCTGCGGTCTCCCAAGCCACGCCCCAGTTTTCCCTCTAAGAACTGGCCCCTGTGCCTCAGATGAAGCCGGGGCCTGGCAACGTGACCTTCATGCCGAGGCTAGGAACCCGACCACAGGGGATATTGACATATTTACTGCTGGGGCAGACTTAGGATAGATTTTACATCTTACCAGTGACTCCATGTGAAGCAAACAATAAAATATACATTCTAGAACTGGGCCTAACTCTAGTCATGACCGGGCTGTTCAAAGGTATTCCTTCATCCGCAAGGAACCGGTCATGGGAATATGGAAAATCAGATTGCCCACCCTCCATTTTTGTTGAACAGCCCGGATTTGCATACCCCATTTACAGATCCCTGGTTATACATACCCCGTTGGTAGCAGGGGCAACAGGGAAGGAGGGGTAGCAAGGGGTACGTGCAACAACTGAATTTTCCCGTACGATTTACCGAGGGAGCGGGGGGGGGGGGGGGGGAAGCGCTGGGATCAAGGAATCCCCGAAGTGATAACCTAGTATTGGGGATGGCTCACTTTTGTCTCACAGAAAAAGCTGTTTCTCGCAACCATGGTCTCGTTTGAAATGGTCATGCCCTTCACTTTCCCTGGTGTAAGCTTCACAAGACATGGCCCAGAATAAAAAACGTGTTGTTGGTCAGGTGCTTCTCGAACGATTCGGACCTCCAAACGTGTGTGGCTTGTTGCGAGCCCCGCAAACATCAGGATCTGTATAAGGGTGAATATAGGGGCCCCCCCAAAGGCGGATTTTCCTCTGGTTTTCCTGCACACCCAACAACAACACAAGCGCATAGGTCTATGGAGAGAGAGAGAGAGAGAGAGAGAGAGAAAGAAAAAAAAAAGGAAAGAAAGAAACAAAGAAAGAAGGAGAGATCTTTGTTTTCCTCTCCGCCACCTTTGGCTGCAGGTTTACTTTGGATCTGGTGGCCCATTGGTGGTTTGAGGATTTGAACCACTGCTTCTTGTAGGTGGGCAAATAGGAAAACAGCCCCACACCACCAATTGGAGAGCTGACTTTGAACCTTGAACCAAAAACGACCCCAAGGGCCTCCTGTCGGTCTGGGGGCGTATTTCGCCAGAAGACTCCTTTGAGTAAACTCTGCGAGCCCCTTAGACCTAACGAAGCAAATGGATCTGTGAAAATAGGGGACCCCCCACTCCCAAGCAAAAATGTGTTCCCTTTCTCCTAAAACGGTTAGCCTCACACCCACAGGTTTCCGCTAGACGCTCCTGGGCCTTCCAGCGGACCCAGACCCTCCATTGGACACCCCAGAGGGGTGTTGGGGTCTCAGAACCTGGCGGTTTGAGGGCCCAAAATGGATCGGGAGCTGGGTAGACCAAAAGGTCCTCGCCGACCTCGGGGGCGTGGAGCAACCCGAGGTCCTTCGGCAGTCCTGCGGTCTCCGTGCCGGGCAGGGACGCCATCGTGGCCGGCCGGGCGGCCGAATGGGGACCCGCCACGCTCCCCAAATTGGTACTGTAAGAGCAAGCCCCCAAAAAAGGGGGTCCTATAAACGAAGATTCCTCCAAAGAATGGTGATTCCAATTGAACATGGGATCTCTGTTCATATGTGTTTGTTGTTTTTTCCATTTTGAGGTTGACTTGATATGGAGGGCCTGAATACGCACCAGAGCTGATCAGTGTGAATGGTATCACGACCTGGGGATTTTTTTGACTGTGGGTGTTCACGCCATATTCCATAGGTCATACTGAGAGAATCATGTGTATGGTTCTGTAGCCCGTTGCAGGAAGATCTACTGGCTTGATCGGGGCTAGGCAATATGAACCTATAAATCCTCCCCACTTCAAAGCCCGAGTCTCCTGGTACCCTGTGAGGACGTACCAATGGCCCCCTTTCTGCGCAGCCAAATGCAATCCACGCCGGTTGCGTGGCAGGAAATTGGTCAGGTTGCTTGGAATCCTAGGCTCTTTCCAACAACTGGGTGTCAAACAGTCCACAATTGAAGATTTATCCAAAGGGAAACCACAAGGGGATGGGTATCGTTCTATTTGTTGTTTCCTTTTGCTAGGGGCTAAATCTGGACTTGCCCTCCAAAGGGGCGGATTTTACAGGAAAGCCAAAGAACGCTCTGCCCTTCTTGTGGGTATGTTTTCACAAGATAGACATATGGCTGTGGGTCAAAACCAATGGGATCCCATTTTGGGGTAGGTGAATTCACCCATTTTAGAACCTATTTTAGTGGGGATTGGGATGTTCACTGGGGGTACGGGATGTTGACCCACACCCATGCCCGCGTAAAGTCAAGTCGGTGAGTGAGGGTGCACTTTCCAAAGGAATACACAAGGCACCGATAGCCCTTTCCAAACCTACCTGCGGTCTATTGGTGGTTTAATTTTGACCCATGGCTATATCCCTGGAGCCATACGGCTCCTTCTCTCAGGCAGCTACGCCTTGGTGGAGGCGATGCTCCTGCCCGGAGAGGCGGGGCTCCCATCGGATCGCAAAAGGCCATGCCGGATCCACCGCTTCTAGGCGCTACTCCAAAACGGCTTTACAGTTTTGAGGAGGCAAGAAATGAAACATAATCTGCAGACACCACTTTTTGGAGCCCGGTTGTGGGCCAGGTTTGTTCCATTTGGTTGCTAGAATCTGTTTGGAACTTGTACAGGTAAGAGGAAATGAACCGTGAACAAAGAACCAGAATCAATATGTTATTTTCGGTTGGAGGCAAATGGTACTGGTTGAAATTAGGTGGATTCCGCGGGATCCAAGTTCAACATGGCCTGTTAGGGCAGGAGTCCTTTCTGGTTTATGGGTGGAAAATAGATGGGATTTCCCGCTTGGGCCGGTTGAGGATGAGAATTCCATGGTATCGTAGGGAGATACAGAAAGGGACCTTGCCCACAACCTTGCTCACACTACGGCATCAAGTGACTCAAAGGCACCTTGAATCACGAAAGGCCAACAAAAGGCTGGCAGGCGCGCAAGAGTCTTGCAGGCTATATAAAAAATGCTTGCAGTTTACACACTGCCTGCTGAATGAATGGTTTGTTGTACACAGAGCTGCTGTGAATCACAAAGTTGCAAAGGCACAGCGGCCGCTGCAAGGCGATGGTCACTGGTTGCCAACAAGGATTGCAAAATGGGCTGACGGTCCCCAAGGTCGGGAGCTGTTACCAAATGGTGAGGTTCCCATGCGGTTTCGCGGGATTTCGTCTCCGCTCTTTTTTGCGATATCCAGAAAACTGTTTTCCCGCAGGGACTTTCACGCCCTTCCCCACAAAATTTAGGTTGCAGGGGTTCGTTGTTTGGTTCCGGCTTAACTGCAGGGCCACAATCAAAGCCAGCTATTCCAACAGCCAACAAATGGCAGCATGGGTGGGGCTGGGCATGCATGGCAGCCAAGGCCTGCCCATGACGAATTGCGCGAAGGGGTGCTTAAATGGTTTACACCGACCTGTGGTTTTGCGTTTTGGGTGGACGCACCACCCGCAATACTTCAGACCCACTTGGTGGGAGCAACTCCCCCGTTTTTGCCTGCGCAAATCAATGACGAGCTCACCGATCAGGGAGAAAGATTGAGACAAAACAAGAACCCTTGAAATACGGAATTCCGTATTTCAGGTTTGTCAATCATTTGCCAGCTGCATCTTTTGCAAGGCGAACCGGTGTTGGGTTGGTCTCCCCTACCAAGCCCCAAAAGGGCGTCCTTGCAAAGGTTGTTTCATTCCCGGAGTAGTACGGGCGTGGGAATCCTTCACTTTTGTCTAGTAGGGTGGGTTGACAAACCCAGGGTCCACAATTAGTCTTTTAAGTGGCAGCTATTGGGTCTAAGAGGCGGCCTTGCAGGTCCTGGAACCGTTCCAGGAAGGTTCTGGGGAGGTTCTGAGGGGCTCCCGGGGGGCTGCGCCTTGCGGGCAGAAACGGCCTCTGATCATCGGCCCAGGCTCCGGGGTTTGGAGCGTTCTGGAAGGGTTCCGGACGCCTTGATGGGACCTGGGCCGATTTTGTGGCAGGTCTACACCATGCGACTGGATGCAGACGCCTTCTTGGACCTGGATGGCTACAGCATGGAGCAGCCAGATGACTCGTGCCCACCAGACTCCGTTCGACTCCGTTCTTCTGTCCCAATGGCAGCTTGAGAGTCTCACGCCCTGAGTTTCCGGACTGTTTGTCGTTTGGGGGAAGACCATGTTAGTGGCAAACAGAAGCTTTTATTTTTACTTTGCCAATCCGCGCGGGAGCTAAGGAGTGTTGGCGTAACAGCAGAGTCGCTCCGAGATTTTCAACGACTGGCCAACTCTCAAGGATAGAAATGTTGGGCTAGGTCTATTGTGTTTTGTTGTTTGACCAGGGAAGAAGTTGCTACCTTTGTGTTTGGAGCAGCTTTGCTACAGGTCTGTTGGATGGTGTTCACTTGAAAACTGTCCCGACTCACAAAGCGTTATTGTCGAACCATCCGATAGTCTATGGTCGATGTTGGGTGTGGAAATTCATTGACACAGAGATACACCACCTGCAATTATGAGAGTCTGTTAGAACCCTCCGGCAAAGATCGTTTGGGTTGTCCCAGGTTAGACCACTATACGTTTCCCTGGGACACCTGCTCCAAAACTAGTTCATATCTTGGTCGACGACATATGGAACAACATTTCGAAATTTTAATTGTGGGCCAAGTTGAAGGGATTGATGATTGCTTGATTTGTCGTTACCGTTTGAGGCAGAAGGAGCCTTTGGCATGGTTTTGAAGGGATACTACACCAGTCCTTCAGAAGTGACATGTTGCTTGTAGAGCCACATTTCATACCAAGGGAACCCCCTTAAACACGATATAGTTTTCACAGGGATTGCCCACAATATGTGTCCTCCATGCACATAAACTAGCACAGCCATTTTCAGTAGATGCAGCAGTCAACAGGTTGTGCGTTGGTGGAATGCGTCAAATGTTGGAGCCCGTGATTGGCCATTCCCTGTGATTTGCCAGTGATCCAAGAGAGTTGCTCGGAGCCTCCTCAGGCTAGCTTCCCTGTTCTTGGCACGTATTGATTTTTTTTGTTGGTTCTGTTAATTTTCAGTGGGTGGCTGCAAGCAAACAACGTGTTTGTTTCACATTTCAAGGATTGGAGAGACATCGGTTTCCGTTAGTTTTCTTTGCATCTTTGCGACATGATGTCGCCAATGATGGGAATCAACTACTTGACGCCGCGTTCGACCTTTCGGGAAAAAACAACTTATCCATTGAAGCTATTTTCAAAGATAGACCTTTCTCCTAGCAACAGCAACCCAGTGTAGTATCATGGAAAGGGTGCGGTTTTTTTCCGCAGCCCTTGATCTTGACCCTTCAATCCTTGCTGACGGAAGCAGGAGTCTGGGAGTTGACCTCCTGCCCCTAAGAAAAAGACAAAGAGAACACATGCCTTAGACACCCAAGGGAATGCTGAACATGACTTCCAGCACTAGTTGGGATAGATGAAGCCCGATTTGACCGCCCACCAACTGGTGCAGGATTTATCCATCCACTTCACTTGGCCTTGTTTTGGGGGCAGTTGCGGTTGTTTGAGAGTTTGTCTCAAACTCATTCGGATGTTTAAAGGGAAAACAACAGGAAGGAGACCAGCCGTTCCTCGGGGTTTTCTCATCAGACAAAACCCACGAGGTTTCCCCAGATCTTTCCCATTGAGGTACCTGATCTCTACACTGCCCCAGCTACTGCAGGAAGCTCAGTGAGAAGGTCCCCGACCCCTGAAGACCTCGGCTGCTGATTGCTTCGATCTGCCTTGAACTGTTTGAGAAAATGTGTTTAGCAGGAAAGGTGGCACATGTTGCCTAGAAAGCGCTAAGGATTTGTGAATGTGCGTCTGTGTCTGTGTCTGTGTCTGTGTCCGTGTCCGTGTCTGTGTCTGTGTCTGTGTCTGTGTCTGTGTGTGTGTGTGTGTTTGTCGAGAACAACCTTTTAACCTTTTCAACCAAAAGGAAATGCGGAACGACCTTGAATGGAAGACCATGGTCCACGTGAGTTGTTTTTGGACTACTTAAGCTTGATTCGAGGCTCATTCACCTCAATCTTTGAGACTCCCCGTTTTCCTAGGCTCCTTGATGCATGTCACGCCTTATTTTCATATTTGGAGGTTTACGCTTAGAGGATTGGGTCCAGGTGTCGGCGAAACTTTAGAGGAGAGCATGTGAGACCTTCATCCGCAGCTGATACACAGCAGGAAACAGGTGGGGAAACCCCGCTTCTGCGTGACACAAATCAACCATTGCCAGTCAAAGGAAACAAAAACACATTTTGTTTGGGGGATCTCCTATTTTAAGACATGTTGATTCCAAAGGGAAGCGCCCTCCAAAAGGGAACCAAGAGAGCCACCGGAGGTCTAGGACCAACTTCACTTGGGATCTCCAGTTTGAGATGTTGAAGCAACCCTGCCGGGCTTGACGCCCGCTGAGCTCGGGGGGAGTAACCTTGTCCAGCGGAGCAAACCACATGTAACAAGCTGCGCTCTTGTCTTGTTGGTCTGTTGTTGGCAGTGCACCAAAGCTCTAAGTTGTTGAGTGCCACCCTCCAAACAAACTTTCTTTTGGGGTTTGTGCTTTCGTGTTTTTCTTCTTCTTTTTTGCACGTTTCTGCTATTTTTGGGTCTCACTTGGGTAAAACCAGCTCACCATGGTAAAGATCCTTTACTCGGGGATCCGAAAAGTGATTTCAGGTTTTGGACGTGTTGCAACCAAATTGCACGGCCTTGCCCAGGTTCCGGCGCCTGGGATCACAGCCCCACCTGCCGTGTTTGGGGGGCGGGGGGGGTTCGGAGCTTCGGCACGGCTGCGTCGTTTCCGGGGACGCCCGGGGCTCCCTTGTGCGCATGATGGACATGAGGACAAGTCGCAGCCTGCAAAATGGCCGGCATTTTCCCGAGTCAGGTGTCGTTTCCCCCCAAACAGCACTTATTGAGGCCTTGCTAAGGCCATGCCAAGGGGAATCCCTGGCTTTGGGGGTTCATGAGTTCGGGCGCTTAAATGGACTAGTGTGGTGTGCTTTGCTTGGCAGTTGGTGTTGCGCGGAGACGCAGAATTTGATTTTATCTCCTCTACAAATGTCTGCATGTTTGGGTATGCTTAACACAAGCTATTTGTTTGCTTGTTCTCGGAGTTTGCCAGGCTGAGCATACAACTTGTGTTGTTCTTTTGGGGTTTCTTCATTTTCTCTTTTAAGCAACCCTCAGTTGTCGCTTTTTGCAGGGACCCGGTCAAATCGATCCGTCCAGCTGGCAGGCAGTCGATTTGATGCCAGGCAGTGGGAAGATCCGAGCTCCACCGCTGTCGGCTCAGAGAGTCTCAGAGTTCCGATGGCTTGCACCAAAGGATAGTTGGAGCATCCCAAAACAACCCATTTGTTAGCCCATTGAATGGGAGAAATGCGAGACTGAACGGCACGAGGGGAGTGGGAATTGGATTGCTACTTCTGTGGTATCTCTATGTCTTTATTCAAGGGGGTACTGTAATGAATGGTCGCCTGGTATCACAGAAGTGGGAACCACCCCTCGGTCCCACAACCTCGGGCTGAGACAACTTGCTTCAGAGTCGGTTCCTGGTTGTTTTGCCTCCCCACCGGCTGATTGATGTATAAGGATGGGTCCGATCCACATTCATGAAGGTGGCACCTTTTATACAATTCCCATGGGTCCTTTGGGTGGGCAAATAGAAACACTTCGGGGGGATTTTCAAAACTGATAGGCATTGCAGACTGAATTAAAGTCCTAGAGAGAATAGAAGAGACCCCCACCCCCCGACCCCCCATAAAAGCAGTGATTCTAAGTTGGCATTGGAGAAGAGAAGGGGCTGAATAGTTGCAAATATTGTTTTCCCATGGTTGTGACTTAATTAGTCCCAACCAGGAATTATGTTTTTTAGTTCTCTTACAGCAAACATCCGGGGGTGTCATTCATTTTTTAGGCGCGTACCCAATTTTGATTGCCCTCCCCATTCCAATCATTTAGCCTCCTGCAGCAAAGATCCGGGTACCCAATTTGGGTTGGTTTTGAGAACGGAATCCACGAGGAAGCTGGTGCCATGGGGGGGGTTCCGATTCATGTGAAAGGCCTCAGCAGCGCGGGTGTGGCCTTCAGTGGCAGTGGATGTGAACCGCATCTTCCTGGTGGGAGGCCTGCACTGGGTGTGTAAGGTGAGGTGGTACTCTTTTTGGGGATCCTTCAAAACATATGTTGTGTGTTTCTTTTTTTAGGAGCTTAGACATATGTTTTAGATTGAGATGGACCAAAAGAGAATCATTGCGTCAAACTGGAAATCTGGAGAATGTCGGGCAAAATGTGTTTCACCCCAGAGTTGGGCCAAGGTTTGAGATTGGTTTGCAGGCAGGCTTCAAAGGGAAACCAAAGGAAGACGAACGGGAGACTGAGGGGGAAGCCAAGAGCAAGGGGATTCAAAGGGAAAGCAAAGAAAACCAAGAGAGAACCACACATAAGCCAGCAATAAACTGCAAATAAACTTTTATGCTTTTGAGTTGGCACCCTTTTTCCAGTTCTTCACTAACTTCACTGCAGCCTCTTTTTGCTTACCGTGTCCGGGACACACCAAACATGTGTTTTGTGTTTTCCGCCAAGGTCACTGGGCAACTGTGTGTTTCTTTGTTGTTTTAAAGTGCTTGGGTTAGGGGTCGGGGTCTCTTCATGATGACTTTGGGGTCGATTAACAATATGAAAAATAATCAGTGTGGGCCAAGATATGGTCCCCTTCCTGCCCGTTTACACATCACCTTTAGGGCCACTTTTGCTGAGTTTGGGACATAATAGGGAGCCCCGTTATTCCCCAAATCTATGTTCAACTCAGGGGAGTAGCTAGTAAGCCTAAGCCTGCGGCAGAAGGCAAGGGCACCCTTTTTTTGATGGTTCCACCACATTGCTCAAGGCTTTTTTCGATGGTTGCTTTTGAAGGGAACCCCCTCCCACCTGAACCTTCTTTGCCCAAGGCTCAGGACTGGCGTGGTTCGCAGTGGCTCCGGGCGGAATAGTTCCGGAAAATCTTCGCGGTGACTCGCTGTGGGGAAAAATACTCGTTACTGTACCTGATCGAGTGCCTGCCAAAAGGCATGCAAGGCACAGGGAGGATGGAGTTGTCTCAAAGGGGAAGGTGCAACATGGTTGGTTTCCTCGGTGATTTCCCTTTCAACTAAGCCCAAAAGGGTACCCGCAACAAGAAGACACACAAACACTGAGGCACCTTTTTTCCCACCTCGGCGTTCTTGAGCGCCCGGAGCCGAAGCCTATTGGACAGGTTCGGTTCTGCAAAAATCATACCTATATAATATTAGCAGACAATATTACTGGTCTGTTCAATTGGACATGGGCAGCCTACCCAGCCTACCTGATACCCCCTGGTTTCTCAACAGGTTAGGGGGGCCCGATTGAACCAACTGTAAGTATGTCCGACCCAGGAGTGTCTTTTGTTTGAGGGTACCTTTTTTGAGCTCATGTTGGAGGAAGTTGCAGGAAGACAAAAAGGGACACCACTTTGGGAAACATTCCCCTATTTTCAGATGCCTGAGACGCGAGGCAGAAGCCCGGGCGCAGTTCGGAGACCCAGGAGAGACACCTCAAGCCCCTAAACCGCACACCTAAACCTATAGGGTCTCCTCAAGGATTTGACATTTGCGGGTAGACTAAATCTTAGATATGGCTGCCATGTTTCGTGTACCGCGGGCCAAGTTCTGGGCTACTTCGAAAGAATGTGTGGTTGGCGCTATGTCAACGCGAAGTGGCCAGAGGATTTTTGCGCCTGACAATTTCCATAAGCGGGTGAGAATTCATTCAGGTGGTTGTTTTGTCCGGAATAGCTGTTGTTTGCACGAGAATGCTGTAAAACACTGCGAACCTGCATGTTACAGCATTTTCTAGCAAGATGGTTTTGCACCAGCAGTGTCAACATCCCTGTCACCTTTTTTCAACTTCCCACATGGTTTTCAGCAATCTGTTGTCTCCTGAGAGCCAGTCTAGTCCTTGGCCCCCTTTTGTTGAACAGAGCGTTAGGCTTGCAGAAGGGATGGCGCAAGAAGCTTCCAAAAGTCCATTCAGCACTCGGTTTCCCTTTACCAGGCCGATCCATTCAGTCACATGGGAGCAAGCATACGCGGCAGTGTTTTTGTTTTATTTCTCCAGGCTCGCTACATGTCCCCTTTAGGTTGCCTTTAAGCATCGCCTTCTTGACGCGTTGAGTTTGACTCTTTTTTTCCGGTGGGGGCAACATTCTCTCTTGAGGCCTCCCTTCCTCTCAACGATGTCTGGGTGCTGAACACCTTCAAAGAGGCCAGCTTTGCCGAGTCGCCGAAAGACGCGTCGAAGGAATCCAGGGCGGTTGGACTTGGCAATTGGTCAGTGTTCTGTTGGTTGGGCTCTTTTCCGTTTATTTCAAGCCCAAAAACAAACATCGTTTCCAGGCCAGGTCAAAAAGGCAGGACCGCAAGACTCACTTCCCGAGATCCTGGGCTTGAAGACCGCTTTCGTGGGAAGCTGTCAGGGCGTGTTTTTTGTTCGGCCGATTCACGCGAAGTGACAGCAATCATGGAAGTGGATAGCAGGGCGAGAGATTGGAAGAAGTTTTTCCAAGCGAAAGCCAAAAGGGCGTATCTTGTTTTGGGAGAACCCCCTTTGGTTGGTTTTAAAACGCGGCAAATTGGAAACCAACCATTTTTGGGGGGCTCTCACTAAAGAAGGATGGGTGTTTTTCATGAGGGTTTGTCAACAGACCTCAGTTGCGCTCCGTCAGCTCGGTTTCCCCAAATTTGACACGTAGGCGTTCTCAAAATGAGCGGGGATTCGTTCCAGCTTCTTAAAATATGCCCTAGAAAGGGCATCAACTCAAAAACCAAACCCACACATACAGACATACACATACGAGACAGACACGGACAGAAAAAAAGAGAACTATACACATATGACAGACTCACATCATCTTAAACGGTGTTTACGTCCACGATTGTTGAACAACAGGGACAATTGGTTGAAGATGGATGGAGTTTATTGGTTTCAAATGTGTACCATTTTGGTCAACCGTGTTCGTACACAAGGGTCCAAACACGTACTTCTGCTACCCCCGCAAGGGCTTCCCATTTCAGCAATCACGGCGCAGGCAAGTAGATTGTCCCTCGTGGTTTTGCAACTTTGAAGTGAGTTTCCTTACAGATTGATGTTTAAAGTGGAAATGTAGGGAGCTCTGCCAGTACCAAACCATCCAACCGCCATCCTAAGGGTCCATCGATGAATTTCCGGCCCACGTACGAATGTTCCATACGCTAACCGCGAGGTACAGGGTAGCGCGTCAAACGGGATCCCAGGGCAATATAAGTTTGTAAAGCAGTATACGCCCAATCATGGGCGCTATGTTGTTTTGAATGGGTGCTATTCCTTTGAACATGGGTTTGTCTCTAAATAGGAGACCTCCTAAACTAGCACACCCATATGTGTGGTCAAAAGACCTGCTTAGAGGTTGGTAGGCATGGCTAGGGACCCCTGTGATGGTTCCTGGCAAGGCCCATCTCCATAGCAGTTTGGACATGGGTATTTCAACTGAATTTGGGGACCCCCCCCCCCAAAAAAAAAAAGAATCACATAAATAAAGCAAAATGAAATAAACATAAAGCACTGATCTCCTTTGATTTTCTTTCAAGAAGACTAGATATGGTTGCCCGAATTGCTGAAACATGTGCTTTTTCATGTACCCAGGCGTTGGGCCAAGGAAAGATAGGGAGGGGGGGCCACATAGCGTTTGAATTCCAACTCCCCGTCTTGAAAAGGGGGATTCCATTGGCAGTTATGATGAACCCTTGAGGGATGTGAGATATTTCAATTTTCACACGGAGATGACCATGACCATGGCCAAGGAGCGTTGTCATTGGCTAGGTGAACACTAAACCCCGGCTGGCACTGAAGGACAATCATGTATTTTTAACATCAGCAATCAAGAGGGAGAGGGAGGAGGGGTTGTCAAGAGCGTTTTGATTTTGAGGTCACCTTGACCCCTTGAAGGGACCCCATGGGGACCCCTTGTCTGAGGCCAAGGGATCCTTCGCCTTGGATTCGTTAGGTGAACTGCGCCTCAGCCTTCGAGGGAGAGACCCCCTGCTCCCTGGAGCGCTGTGAGGCGGACGGGTTTGGGGCGTCCGGCTGCCCAGCACCATGGCTCTGCCACTAATGTTGACCCCATATGAATCAACCACAGTGTATTCATAGGGGTCCCGGTGTTCCTAGGTTTGGGATTCAGCACTTTTGGAGGGGAACACCTCCATACGAATAAACGGGGTTGACTAATATGGGGTCAACATTGACAGAGTTTCCTCCATTTCCCTTGTTGGAACCTCCAACAGTTGCAGTTTCAACGGAACCCACTGGTGAATTGTAAGAATTGAAGGGGAAAGCCACCGACCACTGACCAACAAACTGTTTTGTTTTTGCACGGGCAATAGCCACGGAGGGTTTTTTTTTGCAGAACCAGAGCTTCCTGGAGAGACGCAGCCCGCTAGCCAATGCCAAAGCCGGCCAAAGCACCCCAAAAACAACTTGAAGTGATGAGCCCATTTCAAGATCGGGCCCTCCCAGGAGGCCTCGTGAAATTCATGTGAGCCACAATCAAAACCTGGGTAGATGAAGGTTAGTAAGGGACAATCCCAACCATAAATAGCTGCGGATATCCGGCTTCTTAATTCTTTACTTGGTTCTGGGTAGACCCTTTTAATACCAGGTTTTGATTGTGACTCATGTGGTTCCGGGAACTGTGAATCAATCTGCAAACCTGATGGTTCATGGTGAGTCCAACCTATGGTACGTCTGAGTCGGGTGCTGTTGCGAACGTCACACGTCGCCGAGGTTCACATTGGGAGAACAGAGCTTCCGACGCCTCGTGTGGCGGCGCCGCAGTCTGGGGGCTCAACAAAAGGGCCAGCAAAAGGAAGCCACAAGGCAATCATGGGATTGATCGATAGCCCCATGTTTGATTACGTGGTTTTGGCCAATCCAGCCATGGTTTTGTGTCGTTTTCCTATACCACCTTTAAGGTTGTCTCGAAAAAAATAAATAAAACTATCGGGGTCTAAACATGAGACGGAATCAGATACGACAATATCGGTGCACCTTGGGGTTACGCGGCTGGCCGGAAGGCCATTTTGTTTGTTTGACCGGGTACAAATCAGAACCAAGGGCATCGCACCAGCTGAGGATCCAAATCCTTGCAGAGCTTCGGGATGTTGGAGGAGTCTTTGGCAATGCCCTGAACCTGTTGTATCTTGCTGAGTTTGTGTGAAGCTTTGGGATGTACCCGTTCAAGTTCCAAGTTAGCTTCGTCACTGCTTAATACGCAAAAAGGTCGGAAAAGCGGTGAGTAGAAACCTCAAATGGGTCTGTTAACATGCCTTTTCATGGCTGGTCGAAACACGGTCAAGGCACTGTTGACCAAGAAACCTGGTCAACAGGTCCCAACAAACAGATTTCGATCGCTTGCACCAAAGGACATCATGAGCATAACGTCAGGAAGGAATCCATGTGTGTGATCCAACCCATTGAACCGTCACCCAACAATTAGCAAAAGTGCGGGGTGTTTGGCTTAGTGCCAACATGTGGCCTACACTGTTCCCTCCTTCGGGCAACATGTCGAACCTGGCACAACGTTGCCCTGAGTACCTGGATGCATGGGCTTGACCCTGCGTCATGTGTGACTTTCCAGCCATAGGAAAGCAACGGCAGCTGTCCCACCTCACTCTTGCCTTCCACGCGGATTGCGCTACTCGTGATTGATCCGAGGACATCCACGTTATGCCCTGAACTCTCAAAGACACCTCTGGTTCTAAAATGTCTAACGAGCCAGGCCTGGAAAAAGGGAAAAATGACCTAAAAGGAAGCAAGAATGGGTGAGACCTGTGAAAGCCAAATTGATGGCACCACGAGAGCGTGAAAAAAGGGTCCTTCGGTGACAGCCCCAATTGGGATGGGTTCATCAATCCGGGGTTCATCGAAAGCTTAAGGCCCGCCGCAAAAGAAGGGAACACACCTTGGCACGCATCGACCACTGAGGTGTCCTGGGTGGAGATTGCATCGCCTCCGATGGTCGTGAAAGGAGCGTCCTGTACGCTTGCTGCGTTTGCCTTTGGACCGATCCCCTTCTGAAGGATCGCGCCCTGGAGGGGATCTTGCTGGTTCTCAGCAAAAAATGAGGTAAGGAGCCCTATAAACCAGCTGCTATGGTCTTCTTTCAGGAAACTCCTTCCGGTTTATTCCCAACACCCTCAGTCATTCCCTACTGAGCACCAGCAAGGTTTCTACAGGTTTCTCCACTCTTGGACCAAAAGAGGGTGCCTACTTGTTTCTACTTTGCACTTACGGCAAGCTCACCGAGGGAAAGCGAACGATTCATGATGAGGACATGAATCCTCAATTTAGGTTATTGAACTAGAGGAACTCGTGGAGATGCATGCATGTTTGAAGCAAACAACCTGGTACGCGTTGTTTGATCCACCAAAAAAGCAACTTGTCCAAGTTTTCGGGACTCATTTGGGTAGCTGAAAAATTAGAAGCATGAAGACAAATGAATTTAGTAGTCCCCAGCAATGTCTCCAAAGCCCAGACTAGTATTCTTGCTCAGATGCATAGTGACTGGGACGTCTCTGTTGCACAATGGCCGTCGTTTTCAACAGAAACAAGCAGGTGTCCCGTTGCAGCATAAGGATGTTTTTCCTCGGAGGCTCTTGAAAACCAAATGCCTGGGGTGGCTTTAAAGATGCGTCTCTGAATGGCGAGCTCGCTGGGAAGGTCCTTTCTTGGGATTTGGAACTGCAACATTTGCAGCTAGGCGACCCATTGGTCCGGGAGGTTGCTAAGCCAATAGCCCCCTATTCACCCTCAAGGAACCCCAAGTTGACTCCCGGTCGACCCCCTTTGTAAACTCATACTGCAACTAGAGTTACGCACCATTTAGCGATCCACGCCCCCGCAAGCTCGCACATGAGCCGAATGGTTTTGTAATTATGCCGGGGCATGCTTTGTGTCTTGGGACTCCGCAAGCCTAACAGGGGCGACGGTTGCGCCTTATCTCAGCCTGGAAGATCTAATTTGTACATATGGATTCCACCAGGATTGGGTCGCCCTGTTTGAACGTGGTTGTACGCACATTGTTCAAACAGTCTTCGTTTGTTATTCCAGTAAAGGAGGTCAGGGTTTGTGTGTTTAAACACAATTTGCCCAAATCTGGATGCTGCCAACAAGCAACCAAATGGGAAGTGGATAGCCATAGTGCTCACTTGGAACTGACTTCCCCCAGAAACCATTGGACAAGTTGGTGTGCGTGTGGGTGTGTGTGTGTGGGTGTTTTTTGTTTGAGGGGACCTGTTTAAAGGAAACCGAGTGGAAAAGACTATGTTGGTGGGCTGGCTGGCCTGGTTGCTCGAGGTTTTGCACCCGGTTGTTTGGCGGATTTCACCCTGCAAAACCATGTTTGGTGGGCTCGGGGTCCCACTGAGATTCGAATCAACTGACCAGTAAAAGAATTGGTTCCAAGTTGTTTTTTGCTCCTGGCAACTGGGGGTTGGGTTGGCTGTTCCAACTCTAAAGTCCTTCTTGTTTGGTTTCTGCATTAGAACTCAAACGAACCCGACAGGGTTCCAGGTGTTTTGACCAAACAGGGTCGCTGGCTGCCCAAGTGACAGGAGCGAGCTGGGGGTCGTGGTTGGAAGCAAGACACTGCGCTGCTGGGGGTCTCGGTTAGAGGGAAAGGAGACGAGAGAGCTTCCTCTTACTCCAAAACTTTGTTTTTTGCGGATCCTGTTTTGGAGTAAGACCTGGAGTGAGACCTAGGGTATTAGGAGTGTCCCCAAAATATGGATTAACTGGGCATTCCTAATACCTCATCCATTTTGTAAGGATTGGGAGCTTTGTTTGGGTTTTGGACCCCCGCAGGTTCCCTTCGTCCACCTGGGTTGCTACTCACTTAATCAGCGCCCCACACAAACAAGTGCATGCTACAATCCCTCTGGGCTTAGTCATCCTCTTTGCACACATCCGGGAGTTGTGAAATCTACCTGTGGCCTCCCCAAGTTTTCCTGGACTCAGTCACTTTGGTGATGCAAACAACTTCTTCGAATCTTCGTGCGAAGAAGTACTAATCTGTGCGGGAAATGAGTGACCTTAGAGGTTGGACCGGTCATCCCAGACCCCCAGTCCCTGTGAATTCTATCAATGGGTGCTGTTTTGCCCATGCCAACTCGACTGAGGCTAGGAACAGTCTTTGGTGATGCTTCCCTACCTTTGTGAGCAACCCTGGGTTTAGCCGGCCATTGCTGTGGCAGTTTTGTCTTTATGAGGAACACAATACATGATGTTTTGACAGTGTCTGGGTCTTAAAGTCAGAAACCGGTTGGCGGCTTTCCCCCTTTCACCTACCACTTAAACATGGGTGGGTAATTGATTAAAGTGGTCATGGGAATGACCCATGTTGGTACCACACAAAGGGGGGGGGTGTTCCACAGCCATGGTGAGTGATGGGGCCAAATGGCTGTTTCTTAGACGGAATCCGCTTCTGTTCACCCACAACGTGATGGGGAACACTTGGTTTCCCATGCGGTAGCTGTCGGTCCATTCAAGTGGCTACCTAAAAATTGCCTCAAAGGCACCCCCGCAAAAAGGAAAGAAAGAAAGAAAGAAAGAAAGAAAGAAAGAAAGAAAGAAACAAGCAGCATGATTGCCCCTGAACATGTTTACTCCCCAGATTTGCATGCGTGGGGCGCATGGGAAACCCAGGATTCTGGATGGGGTGGATCCCATTTGAGATCCTCACTTCGGGGAGTACACCTCCAATCCACCCTGAGCTGTTGTGTCAAAGGGAAACTGAAGGGAGACCCACTCTTTTCGGGAGTTCCCCATATGGTGCCAGCCAGAAAACGACCCACTCAGTACGCTGAGTACTAATCAGCTTGGGGGGCGTCGCCGTATACCGACCGAATTAAACAACTGAAATTCGGGGAGGGTGACCCTTGGAATTCCATTGAAGTTTCTCGTACGACCCAATTTTGACACCGGGGACCCTGCCCCCGCCGGGACCCTGCCCCCGCCGGGAGCGAACCGCGGCGCGTTGCGACGCACCACGAGGTCGATGCCCGACCTGCACTTCGCATCCGGGGCCACCGGATGGGCCGCCGCTGCCCAGCGACATGCTGAACGAGCGCGGGAGCCCGGGCGAAGAGACGTGACGCCTTACTCAAACAAACACGTGTCACGCGGCCTGGGGGGGAGGGAGAGGTGGAGGGAGCCCAAACAAGCCCCAAGCAAAGCATTCTTATAATGAGGGCTTACTAAGGGCGTATTCCCTCCCCGATGACCCAAGAAACCACAATACACATTTGGAGTTGTAGATTCACCATTTCTCCCTGGGAAGGGCAGATCTTGCCACTTCGTATAGGGCAGTGTGTGAGTTGTTTCTGCGTTTAGCCCAATTTGTAGAGGGAATCCCATAGAGGGGGACCTTCCTTTTGGCGTTCCATGATGCAGGTCTTCACGCCGATCCAAGGGACACCCGTTTGAAGCCAGGAGACGAAGCCTGGTTGAAGCCCAGGTCCATTCTTAAAAAAAAGTGGTTTGGGGCTGGTTACATCCAAAACACGGATCCGAATTTCAATTGGTGACGGGCTGGCACTGCTCATATGTGACGGGGTCAAAAAATCCGTTTGCTTGGGGGTTGGTAGGGATGCTCATGGAGCCCTTGGGAATATAGAATTGCGCAGTTTACGTGAGTTGTGACCATGATGCAGCATTGCCGAGCCACCCTTTTTGCAACCCACTGCGTTCCTGGATTTCAGTCACTTGTTTGAAAACCAGCTTGGAGCAAAACAACATGTTTGGATTATTGACCCGGGACATGAGCCTTGGTGAGAGTGACGTAAGAGTTGCACGTCAACTTGGTGAATGCATCCGTTTGGCTCCAGCCGCTGTGGTCGGCCCGCAAAAGCTCGCCGCTGACCCGCGAACCGCTGATCGCCGCAAATCCTTAGCTCGACTATGGCGAAGTCTGCCGTGGCTCCTTGGCTGGCAACCTGACTATGGCGACCCATTCGGGGTTGAAGCGACCAAAATCCCATGAAGGACCATCCAGTACTTTGGGATCCACTGTTTGCAGGCTTCGGAAATACCAAATGTTCAGACATAATATGGAACCTTCGACTTTTCACCTAATATTTGTATAGAAAGTTGTCTCGGCCTCAAGATTTCCAGTTTTGCGTGAGAGTTCAGCGTGGGTTTGTTGTCACTTTTCGGGAACATGAGGTGTTTCCCCCTCACAAAGTCTTGTGCCTTGGCAAAAGTGAAGCCAGGCACAAAGGGTCTTTGAAGGGTCGTTCACCCCAAATGGCTGTGGGTCAAAACCAATGGTACCATTTTGGAGTAGGTGCACCAATGACTTTAGTCTATTTAGTGGAGATTGGGATGTTCACTGGGGGTACAGGATTTTGACCCATGGCCAAATCTTCTTGTCCTTTGCGCCATGCGCCAGGCACTGGGCGTGGGTGCGACCCTGGGCTCTTTGGCCTTCATCACGCCCTCTGCGCCGAATTCCCTCCGCGGCTCCGCGCCCGCGTCCGCGGCCGCATCGAACGCACCCTGTCCAGAGGTCGACTTGGATGTTCCACTCGGGCTATGACGGGCAACAAGTGGGCCTAGAGGGGGGTGATTGACTTATATCCTTGGCTTACTAAGTTTCTTGAACAGACAAGTTATGACATGAGAAAGTAGGTGGCGGAATTCCCGGTAGATGTGGCTAACAGTGGTGATTAGACCAACTGTGCTTCCTTATTTTGCTCTTTGTTGCTGCCTGTTTCTTTCGTTTTTTATCGTATGACTTTTGTCCTTTCTAGCACCTGTTTAGTCGGTCCTGGCCAAAAATGCAATTTATGTTGCCTTTCTGAGTCTGCCTCTGAGTGGATTGAAGTGGGCGTGGCTCAAAATTAACCAGGACGGATTGCGCAGGTCCATGTTTCCACTTGCCAGGGTTCCATTTTGGCACCGGTGTTTTGTGCCACAGCCAAGTGTTCCTTTTGGGCAGCCCGTCGTCGATCCGGAGGCATCGTCCACCGCAACTCACGGCGCGGCAGCCACGGCGGTGGCGACGGCGGCACTGGCACTGGTGGCCGGGCGACGTGCAGGCGAGAGATCTGGTTTTGCCCGATGCGTGTGTTTGTTTGTGTTTGTGTGTTTCGTTGTGTTTTGTTGTGTTTCGTTATGTGTGTGTGTGTGTTTTAGAATGTGGATGTGTGGTTTTCCAGTTGCTTGTCCTGTTTAATATTGCATTTCCAGGGACTTCATCGTGCGTGCGTGTTTTTCGGGTACCCGTTTTGGGGTTGTCTTCTAGGAACGCTAACAGGAAATCACACATTTTTCGGGGTCTCGCTATTCCGACACATATCCATATCTTGTCCCACAACTGGGGGGCGCAAAAAAGACTTGTTTTCAGATTCTGATCGATATGTGTGTCCTAAGATATTAAATCGTTTTGCAGCCTAGTCATGGCGAGCTCTCCATGGCGCGGATGCCTTTCGGGATCCGTGTCTTGTTTAAGGTGTTGGAATGAAATCTCACTGGGGTAGGGTTGGGCGAATTTGTTAAACCTTTCAGGCCCGATTCGGCCGCCTTGTCAAGGGGAGCCAACGGGAGGTTGCTCAAAAATTGTTCAATCATGTTTAATCCAGGATTGACCCAACCCAAAAACAGTTTGGCTTGGTTCTAGTCAGTTTAGCGTGGTGATCTATTTTCTCCGAAAGGACACCAATGTCTATGAGGGGCCAGACCCAGGGTTTCCCGCACCTCTCATCACACGTACGTTGGTCGAAAGCCGGGCTTGACGGGGCTTCCTTGGGCCTCCCGTGCCTATCAGGTCTTCGCATTCCCTTGGTCAATGTGAAGAATGGCGATCGGGTTGAACGCGAAGAACTGTGGGATAATTTCACTGGACACTATCTCTTAGTGTTTTGTTTTTGAAGGTGACACCTTCTAATGACGGCTTGCCTGTACCAACCAAACACACTGATTGACCAACTTCAGCTTGGGGCAGACTTGGTGGGACATGCGTCTAAGATAAACTTCTAGATCGGGTTGAATGGAAGCTGTACACAAACTCCGGCAAGCCAGAGATCCAATTGGCTTGTCCATCAGAGATAGTTCGACAGAGCAAGCCAAAGCTCGCTTGCTCGCTGGGTTGTGAGCCGTTCCTGAAAGAATCTCCAAAGGCAAGCGACAGAGTCGAACATTGGGTTGGGGAATGGTCAGTGCTGGCACTTCCGATCAATGAGCTGGGCAGGATGTGTTCAAACAGTCAGACCTTGGTCGCGGGAAAACCAAAGGAGCCTTTTTGTCAACAGCATGTTCACTCAGGCACCTTTTGACCCTTGAGAAATCTTCATGTTCATGTTTGCTTTTTGCGTATCCCAGATTTGGGCCCTGAGTGGAATTCCATTGAGGGTACACTCCTTAATTTGGTGGAATTGGAAGACTGGGCACATTGTTAACTGGGGGACCTTAAGTCCCACACCCGTGGTCCCTTAAACTTAAGGAAGGAAGGAAGGAAGGAAGGAAGGAAGGAAGGAAGGAAGGAAGGGAGGGGGACCCTTTCTCGTGCCTCGCGTGCAGGCAGGAAGCCGGACCGCATCATCCTGGGGGCGGAGGACAGGGCGGTCCGTTGATCCGTCACGTCTCACTCCACGGGTCTCCACACGACTTTAGTCCTTTGGGACTGACTTTGGCGAACAGAAGTTTGAACCTTCAGCATCCAACCACAGCGCGATGTTTCAACCAGCTATGTCCTTTTGAAGGCGGCTGAAACGAGTCTGGTTCTGCTTTTTTCCACAGATTCCCAGACATGTGGTGCCATGCTGTCAACTTGCTTTCCGGAGGGATGTCTCTTTATGGTCCACCAAACAACAAGGCTTATGAGTTCCAGATCCCACAATTAAGCATGAGTTCCGGGTACCCACCAAAGTGGTTTTCTTTTGGTGTCCCTCTAAGCCAACCCCAAACCGGGCACCCAGAAAAACGCACAGGAGCGGAGCTTCCACGCAAAAAGCACTTCAGGTACAAATGGGCCACCCTTAGCCAGGTCCCCCAGTAGCGCCCTTTTACCCCCTTTTTTGGGAGGGGTCCCCTACTAAAATAGACCAGAGAAAAAGATCGGGTACCCTTATTCTAACCTCTCTACTGGACGGCCACCCCTAGGTACTGACCCTCCCAATGTTTGCCAGGAGAAGTTTGCCGGCGGGCTCATCGGCGGGGAGTCTGCCTTCGCGGGCCAGGATTTCAACTTTGACCCGCTGGGACTCGCCGCGAAGTGCGCGCCTTGACAGAGAGAGGCTCTGGGTAAAGCGCCCCAAAGCCCCAACGGGGCATCAGTTTTTGTAGGTCAAGCTATACAAGGGTTGGAATTGTTATATAGAGTGGCCATGAGTTACTTTTGTGTTATGGTGCCCCGAAGTCTCATTCTGAATATTTAGCCCCTTATACTACTGCAAGGATGATAGTGAAGCTTCTATAGCCCCTTATACCCATTTTGGTAGTCAATGGGTTTTGATCAAATTGGAAGACACTCAATTTATTGGTGTGCTATTGCTTTCCCTTTAAGCCAACCACATAGAAGGATTCCCTCAAAAAGAAATATGCATGTATATACGCAAACGAGTTGAGTGATGACCTCCCTCAAATCGCACACTTTCAACAGGAACATTAGACTGTATCCCGTCAGACATGGTTGCTCTTTAGTTTCACCTTAAACCGTTGCCCAGACATGTCCAAAAACACATGCCGCTTTGCAGGGATGTAGTTTGAGCTCGACTCTGGAATATGAAGCAACCACTATCACTTATATCACCATACATATCTCTATATTATGTACATCCACGCCCCTTCTACCCTGAGTTCCTGGAGGTAGATCTTTTTGGGATCATTTCACTGGTAACCAAACAGTTGGACTTTTTTGGGCCCATCCACTCAGGAAGTGAGTCTATAAATAGGACATGTGTTTCTTAGTCTCATATTATATAAACAACTACGCATCAGAACCTTCTTATTCTGCAAAGCAAGCACAGTTTCCTCTCTCGGTTTGTGGGTATTTAGTCCAAACCAAGTAACCATCTTAAGATCAACTCGGGAGAACAGATCCTATACAATGCTTGAACTCATCTTTGTGCTCCCATCTTTGTGTATAACACACGTCAAAGCAAAGATCCTTTGATCGACTAAGGAGAAGTTCCTGAAGCATCATTGAGGGTATATAAGCCATTTTCCCCTCTCGGTTTATCGGTTTAGGGGTAATTGGTGCAAACCTTACCCATTTTCCCCTCTCGGTCTATGGGTAATTGGTGCAAACCTTACCCATGTTCCCCTATCGGTGTAGGGGTAATTAGTGCAAACCTCAGACTCAGACTCAACCGAACGACTCAGGAGAAGTTCCTTCCTTGGTTCAGGGAGGCTGAGCTGAAGCACGGCCGCATTGCTATGCTCGCCTGGGTTGGCCTGGTGGTGCCCGAGTTCGTGCGCATCCCCGGGCCGGATGCTTGCTATGGCGCCAAGCGACCCGGTCTTGAAAGCCGGCTCCTTTTAGAGGGGTCGTCTTGGGTCGTTGCGTTGGGATTGGTGTGGGTCTGGTTATTCTTCTCCTCCTCCTCCTCTTTTTTTTTATTCTTGTTGCTTTTGTTGTTGTTATGGCTGAACCAAAGGCTATGGGTCACAGCCACCTTTTTGGCATATCTAGTTTGAACGGGAAGGATGTATCAAGTTGCTGCTTGCGGACCGTCTCAACCCCCCTTCTCCTGGCTCTCCAGAGTTAAACCCTAAGGAGCCCTTTTTACTTGGAGGAAGCCAGGAAGAGGAAGAAGCGGGTTGGATGCTATGAAATTTGACAGGCCACGTCGATTTTCGATTCGACCCTTTGCTTTTGATTTCCCTTTGCCGAAATGGGTAGGGGTCGAAACAGACGCTTGGCTGACTTCTGGAATTCCAGAGCTCTCATTCTTCCTTGAGAAGATTGGAATGTGACGTATCTGAAACGCCCAATTGTACCAGGCAACATTTTGCAGCGCGAAACCCTGAAATCGAAAGATCCTGGAGTTTGCAAACTGGATTCTAAGTCCACCTTGGCATACTAAACAGACGGACCCCTGCAGGGTGTCCACTTGCCCATGGCTCCACTTCGGCGACGAACACCTGAGGACTGTGGTGGAAGCCCACAACGCCTGCGCCGGGGATCCCTACTTCCCCTTCATCATTGACGCCACGGACTTCTACAACAAGGACCAAAAACCTGGGTGTTTCCTTAAGCCGACCGGAGCCGATTCGCAAGCCAAAGGAATGTCATCATCCTTGGCCTGAAATAGTAATGGTATAGTTATCCCCACCGGGGCCCTTGAAGATGGAATTTGGAGAGGGGGTCTATGAGGTTCCCTCAAAATGCGTGGTAGTCTATACTGATGGGCACCAGCTCTCGAGTTCCCACAAAACCGCAAAGGACACACAAATGTCATTGCAAAAAATGTATTGACCCCTATATAGGGAGGGGTCCCAGTTAGGGTCCCAGTTAGGCCCCGTTCTCATCTCCATGTCTCATGGTTCCCCTGCACAAGTGGAATGTGCAGAATCCGGGCTTGGCCTCAGGATTGCCAGTTCGGCATGGAGATGAGTCGCATGTGTTCGATCAAACAAAACAAATTGCCAAAGAATGAGAACCTGAAGGCGATTTCTTTGGTCGCCTCCAATGTCTTCATATTCGGTCGGACTCAACAGGATGTTTTCAGTGTACCCGGTATTCATGTTTTCCACCCGAAAGTAGAATGAGTGATAATCATTTCTGATATACCCCCGGCTTTCTAAAAAAAAAAAACTCATGTCTTCTGTGAACCCAGGGCATTTGGGCCGCTGGCCAGCATGATCTTGCCAGGATGGCCATCAGGTGGGCCCCCTCTTCCAGGCGGGCGTTGAGCGCCCAAAGTCGTTTAGAGCGAGGTCCATATAAACCTTGATCACCATATTGGTAGAGCTGCGCATTTGGGTAGATGGTTTGAACACTAGTGGTTGAAACATGTGAAAGCAAGAGGTTGGCCAAGTCCAACTAACCAAAGGCCACCAAACCTTTCTTTAAACAAAAGTGTCCCTTTTGTTTCCATGGCCACTGCAATTGGGGGAAACTGGTCCTGACATCGTGACCATCCTTCGTGTTTTGATGTTTGGGTTCCTTGCTCACCGATCAATGAGTTGGGAAGTTGTGTTTGTAGCTTTTGATGGTTGGAGCACCTCCGAAATGGCGGGCGGGGAGAATCCCCATTCAATGATGTGCACGCAAGTGTAACTAAAGAAACATGAAATTCAGAATTATCATGTGAGCAGCGCCCGAAATCTCGATTGGCCATTTTAGTCGGTTCTAATAGCTGGTTTAATTGCTCCTTTTTCAGTAAGGCCTAGATGAACTTTACAAGCAGATTAGTAGAACTAAAAGTCAAGGAGTTGTGGGCCCGATATAGAAAGGCTTGTTTTGCAACCCCTGCGGACTCCCAAGGAAACCTCCAGAAGATTGTGTAGAAACTATTACACAAATACACATGTTTGCTCACAAGCTCAAAATACATAGACAACTGGATGATGTGTTTAGCCACAATGGTCTTTCAGCATTTTGCAAAGGCGGATTTACCTTTCTTTCTTTTTCTGGCGCCCACCGGTTTTTTGGGGATGCAGCCAGATTTGCTGGAATGTTCCATGATTGTCTGAAACGAAAGGTCTCTCACAGACGTGAGTCAGACACATGATCATTCATCGGCAAGATGCGTTGAACTCCAATGGTGAACATGCTGATGTCGACAGCTCAACAGCACATAGAGATCTGCTCAGCCACCTTGGAGTGGTTCATTTGTTGATTTGAGTAACCATCTTAAACAACAGCAAACACATGAACAGACAACCCGCACGGACACAGACGTGTTGACCAGAACGGTGGGCATGCTCTTTGTGCATCGACGATGCATTTGGACCGATTTGGACTGGCCACCCGGCATGTGTTTGGGGTCAGAACACACGGACCAGAACGTAAGATAAGGATTTTGGTTGAAGCTTTGTTTGGCCAGCCCCGGTTTCTTTTTAGCTGCCCGTTAAACCCATCTAGGGCCTATCTAGGGAATTAAACCTCCAGCCTAGCTTGGGATTTGTTGCTTGCGCCCATCGGTTTGAGCACACGAGCACACAAGCCTGTGGGCTTGGATCCCAGTGGTTTGAGCTTGCAACCATCCGGGGTTCTCCCCATGTGAGTCCTCTAGAAAGGCCCTAGTTTCGGTGTTTCCTCTAGGTGATTCCCCTTAGACCGGGTGATTTCTCTAGGTGTTTCTCGTGTGTTTGCACCAACGCGTTGCCACTGGCGTCAGGCTCCACTTGTCACCCACGTGGGCCTAGAGGACTTGACAAAAAACCATTGGGTTGGTGTCCTTCGCCATTTTGCGCGTGCTTCCAGGTCTTTGCCTTCTGCGGGGTTGTGGAGATGTTGACCACCTTCGCGAAGACGGCCAACGTGTCCAACAAGCCGGGCCTGCCCTTCGGAAACCAAGTCAGCCGGCTGTGGGTCAAAACCAATGGTACCATTTTGGTACCATTTTGGGGTAGGTGACCACCCATTCTAGAACCTATTTTAGTGGGGATTGGCATGTTCACTTGGGGTACAGGATTTTGACCCATGGCCAGCCAGGTGACTGGGGTCATCATGTTGACGGTTTCCAGGGCTCAAGTCAGAAACTGATTTTGTTGATGCCTTTGGTTAGCAAAACAGGGGTCCAGTGTGAGGTGCGTTGTCAAAATGTTCCTTTCAAGACCTGCCGCAAAGTGTCTTTGGAGAAGGTTTCCCTTTAAACTCAATTACCCCAAAACGGGTACCCTTTGATTGGAATCCACTGGGCTGAGAGGTAGACCTGATCCGTCGCTTAAGGACCTTGGAGAATGCCGGGGACTACCGCCTGGGAGCCAACTTCCTGCCGCAGGCATCGGTTTTTGTTTCGGATAATTTGTGCCGAAGCCCGAAGACTCTATGACTTGTTCTCCTTGGGTGACCTGTTGAATGAGATTCTAACAACTGGGGGGTCAATTGGACGCTACACTGATGGTCATTCGGTGCAAGCGATCGGCACCCCTTGCATAGAACACGTGAAATGGTTTCCGTGGAAAAATACGAAGAAACACAGCAGGGGTGCTCGAAACCTCAAAACAGTCATGACGGAAGTGGGCCCTTATGTTGTTATTTTCCACACAACATCTCTTGTGAGGATCGGGTCTTAGAGCACCTGTTCACCTTCCAGTCTACGTTTAGTGGCTCAAAGTCAACCTTTATCCAGGTCCTTTGGGCGGGGAATTTGTGTGTGCCTGTGGCTTGGCTTTCCTTTTCGGAGCCGAAGAGGCAGCGGCATGTTTGTATCAAGTGGGAACTGGGCACCTGGCTAAAGGCGAGTATCTAGCCCCTCACAATGCGGATGGACAAAAAAGCAGCTTTGCACCAATTTGTACTAGGTCCCCCAGTAGTGCCCGTTTACTCTTTTTTGGGGGAGGGTTCCCCTACTAAAGTCGACTACAGAAAAAGGGTACCCTTATTCCAACCTCTCTACTGGAGGACCTAGGGTAGGTACCCAGTATGAGGTTTTATCCATCACTACTGCGAAATGGATTTGGTCGATCCGCAAGCCACAACATTCTGCGCCTTTCGCGCCTGCGGAACCTGTCGCGGCGACTCGAACTTGCGGGGTTCCCCCTGAGGACGAGGCCAAGGTGAAGGAGATGAAGCTGAAGGAGCCTGGGCGAACCGGGCGCCACTTTTTTTATTGCCTAGATAGCCAAGTTGCGATCGCTTTTTGCAGTCACTGTTGCCGGTATTTGGGGAAAAGTGGATGGAGAAAAAAAGCAGCAACTGGCGATCCAGGTGCGTGTCAAAGCAGGGGGAACACACAAACGGTTAGTGTCCTTCAGGTTTCCCTTTAGAGCCACCCACAAAAAGGGTACCCCCAAGGAAAGCACAAAAGCCAAGTTGCCCACAAATGCTTGATTGACCTTATATAGATAGGAAACCAAAGGGAGATTGACAGTTGTTTGATTTGTCCAGACCCTATTTGATAGTTCGTAGTAAGCCCTCTTTCCAAATACTTGTTCTTTTCAGGATAGATTTCGGAATCCGGGTTTACATAGTAAATATATCCTTCTGTTGCCAGGGGTTCACATCATGCCCGTAAAGCCGTCATGGAGTGTCAATAGTCAATATTTTCCCTGCAGATTAACATGGACGCCCCTAACAAGCGTCACTTTCAGTTTGGGGTTGTTTCCATAAATTTGCAGAGGACAGAAAGGGACGCCCTGGGAGTGCCCTTTTCATTTGGAGGAGCAAACCAGGGGGAGGGTTTGATACCATTTTTGTAGCCCGCCCCAACGGGAATGGGTTGTGTTTTGGGAGCAATGGAGTATGATTGTTGGAAAAGACCATTCAGTTTCACTGAGTGGAAGCAAGGCAGTGAATTTCTTGCACCCTCTAGATTCCTGTTTGTTTCATGGGTTCCAGCGGGGGAGGTAGTTCACCCAAACCTTTCGATGTTGACAGCAACCATTGTGGGCAGATAATTTTAGGTCGCCGCTTTCTGTGATACCAAGGGAACCGCCTTCCAAGTGTTGAACCGGCATAGAGATTCTGGCTGATTTTCCACAACCATGTTGGTCAGGGGTGGCGCCAAATGGAGGCTTCTCCGAATAAGGAAGCCTCCAGGTGAATGATGTCCTTTCCAGTACCCCCCAACTGCCGTTTTTTTCCCATATGCAAAATCCCAAGTGTCCAAAAAGCAGTGGTTGGTGGTGCTGGTTGGCTTTCCTTCAAGACCGGCTGCACACTTTATGGCTAATTGGTTGGTTCTTTGGAGTTTAACTTTTTGGGAAACGGTAGATTTTCCATTGGACCCACAAGGAGTTATGCCTTTTGCAGAGAGGTCAACAGCAAAGACCACCTCCGTTCTCTCCTTTCCAGGAGCTGAAGAACGGCAGACTTGCCATGCTCGCCTTTGGTGGCGCCATCACCCAGGCTTCCGGGCGGGGTTCCGGGTCTGGCCAAATGTTCCAAGAGGGGTTGGCCAACCACAGACACCTGGAGGGGCGCCCTCTTTTCTCTTTTGTCTGGGCCAACCAGGGGGATTACTGTATTGTTTGTGGGCCTACTGATCTAGCTAGTTCATTTTGGGGATCCAGTTTCGTTCTTGGGGAGTCTTGTCTAGTTACTCAGCAGGCGAAGAAGTTTTCTTCAACCGGTGTTGAATCCTCAATTAGGCCAACCGACTAGTTGAACTTCTGAGAAAGATGAGTTGGAAGATTGACATGGTTTTACTAAAACGGCGGTGGTGGGGTCTCTGTTGAAGCGCTCCAACTGACTCTTTTGGGGGGTCTTGAGGCAACCTGGGCGTTGAAACAAGCTGCCCAAAAGCTTGACCCTGGGCAAGTTCGCTCAAATTCGCTCACCGATTCGCGATGAATGTTCCTTGCTTGGGAGTTCCTGTTGGTACTTCTGTACAACCGAATTAGCACCACTGAGTTGCGATCCTCATCATAGGCCCGATGATGAAGCAGAACTCCTGGTTGCCGAATGGGGAGTGACCCACCTTAGAGCGGATCCGGATCACTTTGTGGGAACACCCATTAAACCACCCCTATTATTCTGCAAAGTTTGTGGATCAGGGGCTGGGGACTGATCGCCCTCTTTGATCTCACATTAAGGGCACCGTCGGAGCCCTTCTGGCACGGGCAACGGGCATCCTATGTTTGTCCCTATGGGTAAGTTCCCCCTTAAGATCAGCCAGCGAGGCTTGTTGTTTTTTGTTTCTTGTTTCTTTTTTCTTCGGGAAACCACTGGTTTGACGCAGTAGCCTGACCTTCGCCTTTTGGAGGATACAGCAGTTTACACAGAATTGCCCTCACTCCCCATCTATCATGTATAGGGGGGAGGGGTCCACATCCATTGAGGAGGCAATGCACATAATGTATGGCGGCGGAGCCCTTCTGATTTCCACTCACAGAAGCACAAAATCTGTTGAGGAGAAGAAAGGGCTGCCCTCAACGCCGATGTTAAACACACGGTTTTCCCTTTGGTCGAATAGGATGGGGAAGGTTGACCAGGTTGAACTCACTTCCTGCGTTCCTGCACTTGAGCCACGTTTTGTTCTTGGAGCTTTTCAGTGGTCTTTGGTACCTTCCATGAAACCATCAAAAACCCAGGGGAAACACCCGGTTTTTGAACAGACCGATGGTTGAAAAGAATCGGGAATCAACCGCTAGAGCTTTGGCAGCTCGATCGGATACTTAGCTGAAAACTGCTGAGGCCACTCTGACGGGCAACGGCTTCCCCTGGCTCTACGCGCAGAAGGAGTCGACTTCCTCCGCCTTTGCATCCTCCGTGTCCCCGGCCAAGAAGTCCTTCAGCGGGAGGCCTGCGGATCCGGGCGGATCGAACAACAATCCGGTGGCTTTGATTGATTTCTCTTCAAATGCGACCAATTCCGGGGAACATCAACAAATTTGCGCTGTTTTCAGATAAGTACAAATGAGTTTGGGTTTTGAAGGGGACCACATGGAAGCATTCCTACCACCTGAGCATGGTTTCCCTTGTTTTGTCATAGGAAGGAAGTCATGTACCGCTTGGCAATCATTTGCACCATTTACAATCACAGGGGGGGGGTCCGCCAAACAAATGATTTGCCTGGTGGACATTACCGCTAATAAATTCACTTTAAAGTACCGTTTAAAAAAAAAAAAAAAGAAGTCGACCCTTAATATTGTTGCCATTTATGTAGTCAAATGTTGATTCACGGGGATGGTGCTTACTTGTTTCTTGGCTGTTCATGTTGCAATGGTTCCGCTTGTAAGTGGCCTGTCTATTGACGTGCTCCGAGCCTTTAAACAAGTATCCCAAAGGGTGGAAGCTTTGGTATGAATGCTTGAATTAGTTTCTCACTACCAACAGTCCATCCGCAGATAGTGGACAGGAAAAGGAGGCTTTGCTGTCATTGCTTATCTCGAGAATGAGTAACTAGGGCCTTGTGGGGCCCCGGGTTCTGTGCCCCAACACTTTCTTTGGGGGCGCTCCATCTATGAAGTACACGCATAGATCATGCGCATGTCCTGGGTACTTCGATGTGAGCTAAAAGGCTAGCCTCACATTGCGGTTAAAGGCGGGGTGCACTGCGGGCCAAGCGCTTAACGGTTGGGCCGAACCTACTCCAGGCTTGGGCACATGATTCTGGCACGTGTCTTCTTTTGGTTTTGTCCGAGGACCATTTTCTGCATGGAGAAGCCAAAGACAAATCTCGGGGGGAAGTCCTATCAACCAATCAACCCTAAGTTTACCAGTAGTGTACCGAACAATCTGTTTCCTCCCTATCATGGGGCCTGGGAGGAGGGAGCCCAGATATGTCTTTTTTTTGGGGGCGATGATTTCCTTCAGGCTCTTTGAAAGACTCCCCAATTGTTGGAGGTTGGCTTCTGGCAGGTCCAAGGTGGCCCGCCGCGCGGAGAGTGGGTACAAGATGAGCCCGGCGGTGCCCTTCCTGCCTATGTCCCCGGCCTTGGAGGGTATCCCCGGCGAGGCCGATTCGGAATTCGTCTGGGGGCCGGGCGGGGAACTGACAGGTCTTTGGTGCATCTTGCTTGGATGTTAGGACTTTCACTTTTTGCTAATGAATGGGTTTTCCATTAAACCACTAAAAGTTAAACTTTTAGCAGGGGAGCAGAAAGCAACCAAGAGGTGTCCTTCCAAATTGTTACGTTTCTTTAGTGGCTCGATGATAAATCTGGAGCAGCATCTCAAAATATGTTTTTTGGGTGTTGTTTCCCAGAATATGGTCAAGAAGGGGCACTAAGCCATGTTTACTCCCGAGTTGGAGTTTTTGGGAAGACCATTTTGGAAGGGCTCCAAGGCAAGTCATTTTCCTGAGAACTCAGTCGATGAGTAGACCCGCGGTTGCCTAATATGGAGTGTCCCATTTTAGAGGGGATCCTTGACTTGTGGACAGGCCACCTTCATCGGCAGGTTCATCAATCCGGGATCGACCTTAGGATTTGACCACGGATTGTTCCTGTAGTTTGAAAATTTTCCAGTTCCTTGCTTATTTGCTGTGATGGCAAGTGCGGCGAGCAAAAGGGCAGGTGTGCTCCCCTACCGATTAGCATGGAACCAAAACATTTTTATGGCACATGTGTAGAGATATCGCCTTTTGGAGAGCTGACTTGTGGGATGAAGCGCTGATTTGCAGGGCCTTCTTTCAAAGTGGAGGTTTCGAAACCTACTAAGGAATAGGACCGAATGGGGCCCTCTGAGTCGCATTCGAGCAGTGCCCAAAAGACTCCACTGGCAATTTTTAAGCAGGTGGTTCTACCTGGTTTTGACAATTAGTATACGTTATATATGTTATATCTCTAAACCTTTACGACCACCTTGGTAGGATGAAAGGTCAACGGGTGAAACGGTCGCCACTCATGTGTTTGCCAGTTCTACTTTACTTGGTCTTTGTAGTAACTTCGATATAAACCTCATAACTCATAACCATCGCCCCCGCCCCGGCTGCTCATTTGTAACGCCAGGAGGAGGGTTTCGACCCCATGGGCTTCTCCCTGGCCATCGACATCAAGTGGCTCCGCGAGGCGAGCGGAACCGCTTCGGAACGGCTTCGCAAGGCCGCGGTTCCATGAAAACATATTGTGGGAAAGCCCCCAGTTGTTGCTTGGATTTGCTTGGTATTCAAAGCGAAACCCATTTGGGAAATCAATTTTAGGGTTTATGGACCACTTGGAGGAACCCGGGGTGAGTAAGCAGAATGTTGTGGATTTCAGTCCATGTTGAGGGGACCAAACAATTGTTGGTTTCCTTGAACGCCAACCTGAAAAGGTACCCTGGAGCCTCAACAAAACTTAGAACGTAATCTTGTGTCAAACAGATTCCCGTGGGACCCCGTGATGAATAGATAGCAACTAGTAGTGGGGGATGTTTTTCTTTAAGAGGGACGCCTACACTTTCGGGGAAATTCCCTTTGACTTTGGCGCATTGTAATGTCAACATGTCTGTAATTTGCCCACATATTCTATGAGAAACCCTCCAATCGCAAGTGACTTCCCCTTGACAAGAGGGGAGTTTTGGATCATGCAAGCAGGTTTCATAGGTGCCATGAGGTTCAAAGGCTCTCAACTAGATCTTCCCCTGAAACCTCCTGACCTTGTTTTGACATTAGAGAACCCCCCCCCCCACAAAAAAAATGAATGAAAAGCACCATAACCTCAGTTTTGTGCGTTTTGCTCGTGTTTTGCCTTTAAGCAACCAGAGACATCAATCACCTTTCCCCACGACCCACAGCCCAGGCGGAGCTGAAGCACGGGCGCGTGGCCATGCTCGCCACCGTGGGCTGGATCGCCACGGACCTGGGCCTCCGCGTGCCGGGGGAGCCCTTCCAGGCGACGTGTTCGACCGGCGTTTTCCGTCGCGACCGACGCGATGTTCCGCGCCCCCCCCCCCCTAAAGGCCCCAAACGGCAGGCCGGGCCCAACGTTGTTGGAAGCCAACGTGCGGTAGATGAAGCCATTTTACTCGGTTTAGTAGTCAGTCTTTTGGTGGGGTTGGGCTACCACTGAAAGGGCTCGTAGAAGGGATATTGGAGGGGAAGAGGGCCCCAGACTGTTAAACCCGTGCTATTAAGGGGGTGTTCCCTCCGTCCCCCTACCAATCAGCCAGAGGCTTATTGGTCGGGGCGTCCCATTGCCTGGTTTTATCATGGTTGGAGCAAGGCCCTCTCTAAACCTTTGCCATCTTCGTAGAAGCCAAAATCAATGGGTGAAACTGGCGCTCATGTGTCTGGCAATGTTAGTATACTATCTGCTTCAATTGGGCGTTATAGTAACTCTGACCTTGCAATCCAAACCATGACAAGCTACAAGTAATGAGGGGATTTGAGGGCAGTTTCTGTCATACCCTTCTAAAGGGATAAAACGAAACAACAAACACTTCAGTACCAAGTGAAGGGCGGGTTGAAGTCCATCCACGGGCCGTGTTTCTAGGTCCTACCTGGCGTCATGGAAATTATCCCAAGGCCTCTATGAAGTTTGTTGTCAAAAATTGTCTGTCCATGGTTCATTGGGACATGGAGAACAAGCTCTAGGTGTCAACCACGAAACTCAGAAAACTCACCCAAGCTTCCTATGTCCCTCCCTAATTCCCCTGTAACAAACGCTCCTGGTTTGCTCCAAATAACGCAACCAACTAGGTGCTGGGTTCAGTGGATTCCACCCTCTAACTCCTTTTTGGCTTGGTGAATTTTCTTAGAATGGAACGAGACCAAAGAAAGGTTCCAAGCATTTTGCTGCCAGGGTCACTGGGCAACTGGGAAGAAGCAAGCTGCTACAGGCATTCCTATTAGACATGTGCCAACCCCTTCTGTGTAAGTTTTTGATCAGTTTCCTGCAGGATTTCCCGTAGCTGGCTTTTATGCTCATTTCCGCTCATCACCCGGTCGGCCATGTTTGGGAGCCACGTTCCCGCTTCCTTCATGTTTTAGGTACCCGCGCCTACAGGAGCTCGTCCGTTTGGCAGTTGTCCCTTGCAAGCATTCCTAACATAGCACAGGTACCACAAACATGTGCAGCGCATGCTTGCCTGTCACCCAGAGACTCACCTCCAATATGACCCGGGACGGGTGGGTGGTGGGGGGTAGCGGCCCTCACATTTGAGGTTGCGCCTAGGGATTGCAACTCACTCGTGAAACAAAAAATAGGGGGAGCAAACACTTGCAATGTTTGGCCCGGCAAGGCGGTTTTCCCATTTGCGCACGGTAAGCTGCAGCTTGAACCTCGAAACTTTGTGTACGGAAGACGAACAACAGCTGATGCAGATAGGTGCAGATGGCAGGTTGTGTTGTTTGACGAAAACTATAGGTGTCCCTATGATTTGGTGCGACAGCTGTTCCGGGTGTCTTGTAAGCCAAAACGCACGGGCCCCGAGAGGCACGGGTGCCATGTTTGATGACTCCCACAGTTTTCCTGGACTTGAGCCGCTTTTTAAACTTACATTTGAGCCCACCCACCCGATCGGAAGCAAGTGTAACATTCCCAACCCGATTTTCTTTGGAATACTGTGGATGGACGGAATTCAGTTCGCACAAGCTGACATGGATGAAGCCGTAATGGGAAAACACCACCTATCAAAAGGTGCGAAGTGGAGTTTGTCCACCGCCCGTGTTTGGTTGACGCAGCTTTGCACCTGGCAGGTCTCCACCGTGGAGGCACACGATGCGATGGTGAAGCCCCTTCGATCAGATGCCGATTTTTGTGTTTCAGGGGAGGGGAGGGCAAGAAAACCACGGAGTAAAGCGAGCTCGTCATGATGGAGGTCCTTTAGTTGACAAATACCCAAATTTCAAGTTGTGCATGAATTGTGAAACATGGTGTGGGCCGAAGAAACAGTGGTTGCCATTGGAGGCTTCTCAGATACTTCTTGGTGGCGGGCGGGCCGGCAGATGTGTCTTGGTGATTCTCCATGGGCGTGTTGTAATTCCGAGCTCAGGGCGGTAATGGTGGTCGTCGTTTCGGCGGTTGTCATAAAGGTCGCCTGTGGCACCGGAGAGCCAGAAAGGGGCCCGAAGTTTGACGGCAAGTGTTCGAACCCCAAAAGCAACATATCCCCACTCCCCTCCAAATGACCATGGTTCCCCAAAAGGGGGAAGCCCATTGTTTGGTATCCGCATACACCCCTTAAACAAACTAACCTTAGGGGAGTTTTGGGCTTAGGGTAAACAACCTTTGGCTTATGGGCGGAAGCACATCACCCACCTTAGAGCAGTCTTGTGGGGAGAGGTCTGGTATGAACATCAGCAAACCTGTTGGTTATTTACCCAAGAGCATGCGAGCAACGGTCTATACCTAGGTCTTTTCGGGGCACTTCTGTTGGTATTGTTCCGTTTCGAGCGACAAAAACGCTCAAAAGCACTCAAGTAGAAAACATGATTTGTTCTGGCATGCGTCCGCCAATTTCCCGCTCATGTTCGCTCAACCCCCCGCATTTCAGCTCATTTTTGGCCCAATCATGCCAAATCAAATCTTCATTAATTTTATTTTGTTCCGCTCCAATTCTGAGACGAACAAAACAATTGCCCAGAGCCCCAACAAATGACCAACTGGAAGACCTAGGGATTATGCACTGCAATCTTCTGCAGTAACGTGCTGACATTGGGACTACTCATTGAGGTCACTCGCCAAAGTCCCCTCATGTACCCCAGAATCCTGCCAACTTGTAAGAGCCACATGCCCCAAACACGGGAGAGGATGTGGTGTGAACATCCAGCCTTTTCGGGTCATTTACCCAAGGACAAAAGGGGCACCAACCCTCCTACACGCCCCCCTTGTGTGGTTCGCCAACCCGCCCAGCCCCTTTACCTTCCATTTGCTGAGACATATGTTGAATTTTCCCCTTTTGGTTTCAAAAGGGAATCTATCACTGGACATATGTATCTTTTCCAGGAGACTCATCCATGGAGGCTAGCCTCTCAGGTTCGGGTCCATGCCGCAGATGCTGGTCTGGATGGGCTACGCCGAGCTCTTCGGGTTCCTGGCCATCATCAACATGCAGGCGCTTTCTGCGGGGAGGGTAGTTGAAGAATTGGTGGAGTTTCATTGGGCTGCAGAAATGTGAGTCATATTTTTGTTTGGCTAACTTCTAGAGTGCCACATATTGCCCGGAAATCCCTCTGTCTGATTAAATATGAAGCCGACTCTGAAGGTGTGGATTTGTTGGTGTTGCTCCATTGAAAACCGAACACGTGCAGCATGTCGAGTCTCGAAAAGTGGTGGGACTTGTGTTTCGGCTGGGACTTGACTTCCATTTGTTTAAGAATATGTGTTCTTTTCCGCTGTTGGTTTTAAAGGGACTCGATCACTACTGGACACATGTTTTTTTTGTTCCAGGGGGCTTAAGCAAATGGAAGTTGAGAGTAGTTAAGACTTTCCAGAAACCCTCACCGCCATCCAGGAGGGCAAGACGGACCGCAAGCCCGGCGACTTCGGGCTGCGGGGCTTCTACCCGCAAGACGCCAAGGGCCAGTATGATATGCAGGTGAAGGCGGGGTTTCGGGGTTTTCATAGGGGTCTCCTTCAAAAAGATGGGCGTCTTTTTTGAGGTGCCGCTGTTGTTGTGGTTTTAAGGGGTCGCCACAAGGAAACTGTCCCTCTAAACCAAGCTGAGCAGTGTGCCCTCGACAAAACGCACACATCCACATACACCAAAATGTGAGATTTGAGGTTTGCTCAAGTTTGCAGTGGTCCATGGTTCATTTGGGAGGGACATGGGGAAGGAGCTCCAAATTTCAACCTCACACAGATGCCTCTCGGGTAGTACCGGAAGCCAGTAATTTTGAACGTGACGCATCTGTTTCAGAGGGGAGCCGTTGCAGCCGGGAGGACGTAGGGCAACGGTGCCGCAGATGTCCCGGTTCGGCTAAGTTTGACATTGCCTTGTGGTTGCCGATGTAAAGCACGTAGGCTGCCTGATGGTGGATGTGTGAAAGGGACATGTAGCGGGGTACGTGTTGGCCCCCGTTGAATCACATTTGCAAGCTCATTTAGAGCAAAAAACCCTTGTGAGTCACGTAATGTTTGGTGTAGTGGGGGAACGTGTTGTTCGGGTCGCCCTTTGCCCCTCAGGTGCGACCCGATCAGAACCAAACTTTGGCTGGCTGCATGTGGCTTCCTAAACAAACTGACAGGGCTCCTCAAAAGCTTATAGTCAAGCTGGGCATTCAAACTGGAAGCCTCTTCAACCAGGCCAAAAGGAAGCCCCTATTTCTTTGCGGGGGACAATGGTCAGATGTCGGAAAGAACCTTTGTATTGGTTTTTAGATGCCACTCTCCAAAGAATATCCAAGTGGAACATTGTTTTCAGGGATGCTTTCTGGGATACGCCTCAAAATGATCGAGGCCTCACTTTGCAGGAAGTCACGAAATGGTATCACCGATCTCGGGCGTCACCCAGCCAAAGGCCATGGGAATGCTCGCGAATCTTTGGGTTCAACTTTGATCCCAGGACTCAAGGGACTTCTCTCAGACTTTTCTGTGGGCAACCATCCAATGGTTTTTGAAGACCCCCAAATGTCACACACACACTGAATTGATTGGTTCGGATTCTGATATCGTTGTTTGTTTAATCGTACTTCCTCAGCTGTTTTTGCTCCTTTGGGTTTTCTTTTGTTTCCCTTTCAGCCAGCGCATTTGTTTGGTTCAAGCCTCACACGTCAGGCAAGTTTAGCAATGAAAAGGGGTAAGGCTTTAAACATCTTTAAGCATGGACCCGAAACATGAGGTACGAAGGGCGATCTACCCATGGCGGGCCTTCATGCTTGGCCATCCCCTTAGCTTTTTAGCCTAGTGTTTAGAGGTAGTTAGTCCAGTTATTCTATTTCTAGCCCAGTTATTCACTTTTAGCGGGGGATCTGAAAACGGGCAGCCCAGTTTGCTTTTCTTTGGGTTAGGAGCTGCGCAACGGGCGCTTGGCTATGCTGGCGTATGGCGGCATCGTCACCACCGCGGTGCTCACCCAGGAGAAGTGGCCCTTCTTCGACGCGGCCCCTGGGATCTTGCAAGTTGAAGGGGTGAAGGTATTCTGGCCAAAATGGGTGTTCCTGGATCGCCAGTTGCTGCATTTTTCCATGAGCTTTACCCCAGCAACAGTGACTGGAAAAAGCGATCGCAACTTGGCTATCTAGGTTGCTAAGAGTAGGGATCCTCAAGCTGATTGGTTTGCCCCTTGGAGCTAAAAAAGGAGCACAACCCGAATTTATGAACTCCTGGTTGGTTGACTGGTGCCCGGCTTTTAGTGGAAAGATAGGCTTATTTATCCGGAGTCAGAATTCCGTCCAGAGCTTTGGCCATGGGAGTTTCTTATTGTGGAAACGCCTCCGTTTTGGGTGGCTGACAAAGGGTAAACAGCAGCCAAGGGAAACAACCCAGCCAGATGAAAAGCAGTGAACACGGGCGGGTTCGCTGGATGTGAAATTTGTGTGGCTAGTGTTTTCTTGGATTAGTTTGTATTATGGGTGTGTTAGAGTTCATTGGTGCATCCTCTAGTTCCAACCCTATCTGCAATTAAAAGCTGATCTCGCTAATTCGGTGGACACACGAGCTTACTATGCAGGTGCTTTCCTTGGGCATTGTTGGAAGATTTCCAGACTGCATGGGCATCTGACATTTCGGAAGTTTGTATTGCGTGCCCATTTTTAGAATGGGTTAGTGGGAGGCCAAGGAAGGCAATCAGGCTGGAGGCAAAATTCAGCAGAGACACGGGAGTTTCGCGCAAAGTGTGCTGTTGCCAAACATCCCTTCACCTGGGGTTGGTAAGAGGTGGTCATGCAGATATATTACCCTTTAGTAGGGGCTTCAGACTGCGAATCTAAAGGTTCGTGTATTGGGAACCATTGCCCTTCGACCATGCCAAATATGAGGTTTGATCAACAGATCCTGATGTGTCTACAGTCAATTTGTTTACCAAGCAGGGGGACTCTCTATTTCTGCCATGTGCATACGGGGGTATGTGGACCATGGTATGGTTGTGCTTTTTGAGGATACCATTTTTTCAGATTGGTTTAAAGGTAAAATAGAAGGGAAGCAAACAAGCATTTGGTGTCCCGTAGTTTGACCTGTGACACTATCTCTTACATATCATTTGTTGGGCTTCCTGAAGTGAGTTCTTTCCGGTGGGGTGGTGTTTGGAGCGGACATAGGAGGAACCCCTGCGTTCCTAGATGCCTCGATTTGGTGGTTTGAACACGTGTTGGTCTAATTTACATTTAGCTTCCTCTTTCTGAGGTGATTTAGATGGGGTCTGGATACTCACCTTTTTTATTATTTGATGATACTACCCTTCCACTTTGCCATGGCGCCCTGACAGGAAAACGGCCCTGAGGAAATCGATCTTTTGCCAAACCACAACGTTCCCTCCAAGGTGAGTATGTTTCGAAATAAGGGACCCCCGCAAATGTTGGGACTCCTCCTGGTTTCGCTGCAAAAACCCGAAGGGTACCTTGAACACAACACACAGACCCAGGTGGTGAACGCCCTGCCCAGCGACTCCGCCAATACCTCCGGCGCGGCCTTCTGCGGCACCTCGTCCGCGCGGTCGACGGCCACAGCGGCGGTGCCCCGAAGGCACGGCGACTGGGCGCCGTTTTTGACCCAAACGGAAAGATCAAAATTTGAGGTACACTATCCAAACCACACCAAGCCAAGCACTATAGGGGTTGTCTCAAAATATCGGACGCCTTTTATTTAGTAAATGGAAGCCAGAAGGAAGCTTACCTCAAAGATCAAATCAAAACAATCCAAACCTCACCAAGCCAAGAGTGAAGGCATCATTTGATTGCTAACATCAAAAGCACTCCCAGCCAAGCCAAGAGAGAAGGCTAGTTGTTTGATGGATTCCTCGATAGGCCAACAAGTTTTGCTGGCCTTTGCTTGTGAGTACCTACACTCCCAGCGAGTTCACGGCAAGATTTGAGATCCGAGCTTTGCCAGGGCAGCCACCAGCAAGTCTTTGCCCTTCCTGCCGAAGCCCGAGAACCTGGGTGGCCTGCCAGGCGGCGAGGCGGAGTTCGACCCCCTGGGCGCCTCGATCTTTGAGATCTTTGGGGGGTGTCCCCCCCAATTTGGACGGCCTTTGTTGAAGGAAGCTCAACACACAGGGCAATTCGCGAGCGCACACAGCATCTCACCCACCTAGGGAAGGGTCATACACCCAATCCCTTCAAAACAGATCGGTTAGGTGGAACTTTCAGTAGTTCACCTGCCGGCAGTTGCCCCAGACCAAGCAGATGTTGAGAACAAGTGATTTCACCCTATTCTTGTTGACGGTGGTTTTTCAGTGGAGGATGCGGATTGCGCAACTTGCCTTGCCTGCACGGGTTGAGCAACTTCTGTGCCGCAGTTGTTGTTTGTTTCCTTGCGATATTCAAGGCATGAGCTGAGCTTCACTAAGATTCAGCCGCACGTATGTTTGCATCACTGGGCCCGGGCGTGGCTGAAACACCGACACCACTTCCTTCACCCGTTCGGGTACCTTTTTTTTTCCGAAGAAAAGACACCCAATAATTTGGAATTTCCGGCCTTTCTTTTTTTGCCATGGATTTGGGGTAAACCCTGAAGGTACCGGCTCTTAGTATTGAACTAGGCTTCCACGAGACCCAAGCAAATTGTGAAAGAATATATTTCATGTTGGCGTTTCGTTTCATACGTGGCAACGCGTCCTCTTCACCTATGTACCTTCCCTCCTTTTATCCTTCTCTTCTTCTCTTTGCTAATGACTTGACTTCTTTCTAGATTCTACACGAAGCATGCAACATTACAGTGACATGGTAGAGTACCTCAATGAGGTGTGTCATGGAATGTGTTCGGGTCCTCCCTTCCATGTTCCTTTTCGACAGTTCAAAAGCACTGGCTCAGGTTGTGGACATTTTGGTGTTGGAGCCACTTTCTGTGATACCCCAGGCACTCTGCAAAGTGCCGAAGTGCCCATCGTTTCATGCCGAGGGTCACCCAAGAGAAACACCGCCCCAAGGCTTCTCGGACACCTTCGACGTAAAGTGGCTGCGGGAGAGCGAGCTCAAGCACGGGCGCGTCTTGGCCGCTATCGTT